TGAATCATACTATGGTCATAATTTAAGAATAATAACAGCAATTGTACCATCATGAATGTAATCTAAGATCTACAGTTGAGGATAACCACACTGGGATAACCATCACCTTGGGATGTAGATGACAGTCATGTGACCTACACTAAGTTAACAGCTTCATCTACACAATATTAGACATCTATGCTTTGAAGAGTTATTAAGTCTTTTTAAACCATTGAGCTCTTTTGGAGTAAGACTATGTAGATCACTCTTAATCTTTACCAGTCAAATCTTAGATATGTCAGATAACTAATTATCCACTGTATTAATCTTCTTAAAACACCAGTCTAATTATGTATTTTCCTAAAGAAAAGATGGTCGAATCTCTGTGCTGGCATCTGAGGTTCCTAGTTGTTGATACACCAAACGAAATCACTCCGCTGGCAACTGCTTTCGCTACAAAACTTTTAAGTCCAAACAAACAATTTAAAAGCCCCACAAAATCTAGTATGGAGATTTCATCTGAGAGCTTACAGGGAAGGGTCACCTGCCTTAATGACTAAAAGGGTTTTGGAAAATAAATACTAGTTTGACAACATGTAACTCTTCTTTTTCTGGACTCCTTCACCCTCCTAAAAATAGGAGGAAAACACTCTAGACACATTCTTAGTTTAACATGACTAGTTATATGCTCATGTGATGATCTGACCTTATGGAATCTAGTTCTAAACAAATCAGTACAAAAAAAAAGTAACTTTTAGCTGGTGGCTCATGCCTGTAATCCTAGCTACTCAGGAAGCTAAGATCTGAGGATCTTGGTTCAAAGCCAGCCTGGGCAGGAAAAGTCCATGAGACTTTCATCTCCAATAAACCACCAGAAAACTGGAAGTGGCGCTGTGGCTCAAGTGGTAGAGCACCTGCCTTGAGCAGAAGAGCTGAGGGACAGCACCCAGGCCCAGAGTTCAAGCCCCACAACAGACCAAAAAATAAAAAAAAGTGATTTTTCTATTTTCACAGACAACCTTAGAAAGCCTCACATAAAGTAAAAGTGAGTAATGAAGCGGACTATGGACTAAAGGCAATGTAATGATCAGAAGGTTTTAAGGCATGTATTTCTAGAAAGAAGCCAATTTACTGTGTTCTAAAGGTGTTAACTGATCACAATTTATAAATATAACTATGTATTGCTATACACAAAACAAATTGAAAAACCAAACAGAGCAGAGGATAAAACAATGGGCTAAAGGTCAACTTTTGAAGCAAATCATATAAATCCTTTTATTAAAAAAAATCCTTCTGACCACAGTGGAATCAAGCTACTTCTCAATAACAAAGCATACCAGAAATTACTCAAATACATGGAAATTGAACAACACACTTCTAAGTACACCTGGGTAACAGAAGAAATTAGAGAAGAAATTAAAAAGTTCCTACAATTTAATGAAAATGAAGACACATCACAAAGAAACTTGTGGGACACAGCAAAAGCAGTCCTGGGGGAGGGGAATTTATCACCCTCAGTGCTCACATCAAGAGACAGACCAAGTAAATAATCTCATATTGTAATTAAAACAGCTAGAAAAACATGAAAAAAATGGAACCTAAAGTTTCTAGATGGAGCCAGATAATCAAATTAAGAACAGAAATTAATGAGATAGAGAATAGGAAAATTATAAATTAAAATAAAACAAAAAGCTGGTTCTATGAAAAAATAAATAAAATTGATAGACCTTTGGCAAGGTTAATTAAGAAAAGAAGAGAGGAAACCCAAATTAACAAGATCAGGGATGCCACGGGAAAAATCATAAGCACCCACAATATCCAAACAATTATAAAGAACTACTTTCAAAAGTTGTACTCTCTAAAGAAAGAAAACCTAGCAGAAATGGATGCATTTTTAGAGAAATACAAGTTGCCAAAACTGAGCAACGAAGAAGTAAATCAATTAAATAAGCCAATATTTTACAACAAGATACAGGAAGCAATCAGAAGTCTTCCTACAAGGCAAAGCCCAGGACCAGATGGATTCACAACAGAATTCTATAAGACCTTTAAAGAAGAACTAATACCCATACTCCTCAAGCTCTTCAGAGAAGAGAAGGAGGGAGCTATCCCAAACTCATTCTATGATGCCAATATCACACTCATCCCCAAACCAGGCAAAGACCCAACAAAAAAAGAGAACTACAGACCAATCTCCTTGATAAACACAGATGCAAAGATTCTTAACAAAATTCTAGCCAACAGAGTCCAGAAACACATTAAAAAAAAAATACAGGGGCTGGGAAGGTGGCTCAGTGGTAGAGTGCTTGCCTTGCATGCATGAGGCCCTGGGTTCGATTCCTCAGCACCACATAAGCAAAAAGAAAAAAGCCGGAAGTGGTGCTATGGCTCAAGTGGTAGGGCACTAGCCTTGAGCTGAAGAGCTGAGGGACAGTGCCCAGGCCCAGAGTTCAGGCCCCACGACCGGACCCAAAAAAAAAAAAGAAGAGCATTCTCCTTCCCAGTTAACATTGCCTCAACTTCTTTCCTTTGTATGCTTAATTTCAAACTAGTTTATCATCCCTTTAACCAATTATACCCTCTACAACTTTTTTTTCTGGATTATAACCTCTTACTGATCTTCTGAACAGGTATTTCTAAATTTAGATGACCTGCAGGCAACCTAGATTTTTACTGCTCCAAACTGACCTCAAAGTCTTTCTCTAACTCATTTTTCATGTATTTGTTTGATAAAATAGCTTAAGGTGTCAAGGGCATACACCTTTGATCCTAGCTACTCAGGAAACAGCAGAAGGACTGAAGCTTGGGGTCAGCCCTGGGAGACATGTCCAAGAGATCCAATCTCAGAAATAACCAGAAAAAAGCAGGCTGGTGACATGGCTCAAGTGGTACAATGCCACCCTTGAAGTCTGAGGCTGGGGGTAATGTCAAAAAGTAAATTTAAGGGGCTGGAAAGGTGGCTCAGTGGTAGAGTGCTTGCCTTGCATGCATAAGGCCCTGGGTTCGATTACTCAGCACTACATAAGCAGAAAAGGCCAGAAGAGGGGCTGAAACTCAAGTGGTAGAGCGCTAGTCTACAGCTGAAGAGCTGAGGGACAGCGCCCAGGCCCAGAGTTCAGCCCCCACAACTGACAAAAAAAAAAAAAAGTAAATTTAAAAAGGAATAGATAAGAGGCTGGGAATGTAGCTTAGTAGTAGAGTGCCTAGTATCTATGAAGCCCTGGGTTCAATTCCTTAGTTCCACATGATCAGAAAAAGCTGGAGGTTGTAGAGTGCTAACCTTGAGCAAAAGAAGCTTTGGGACTGTGCCCAGGCCCTGAGTTCAAGCCCCAGGACTGGCAAAAAAAATAAAAATGAAAACAGATAAGAACTGTATCTACATAATCTTTCTAACTCCTCTCAACACTTCCATGTATACTCTCATTCCTCTACCACAAAGCTTTAAAGACTTATAACTTGCTCCAGATCATATAAAACTATTAGGTGGCAGATGCACTTGTTGACATGTTTGACACCAAATGTTCTACCCTTGAATACTTTCTATCCAGACACCCAAAACAAATTTAGAAACCTTGAATAGATTATAGACATTCTCATGCTCTATATCTACCTATCCTACTTCCTAAATATTTATTAAATTAGTAATTTCTTCTGGGTACTGCCTTCCCTTCCCCACTTAACATTTCTCTAAACATGGTGGTACTCTTTCCTTAAGAATGTAACTCCTATTTTCCCAGATTTAGTGCAATATCAGTTCTCAAGGAAACTTTTCTTCCTTGTTCTAATAGGGAGGCCTTCCCCCACCTTTAATCCCCAATAATTAGGTTTTGTACTGTCACTGTATACTGCATCTCCTTATTTTGAATCCAAAGTCATTACATGCTTTTCTATTTTCTCTTCTTCCTCCTGACTTGTATTAATCACATATTCCTGAAATGTATACAGTACTCCTTGAAGAGTAGAAGATGCCAGGCTTACATAAGTCACAGCATCGAATGACTGAGAATGTCCGGATAGTCAGTCTTCCATATTTGCTGAGAAGGAAATGGAACACTTTGCAAATGTGGTGATGGCTGGGAAGGCCAGGTAAAGACAACAAACAGGCATACCTAAAACAGAAGTAGTGATGATAATAGCAAAGATACAAAAGAACAATTTGAAGGACAGAATAAATCTAGCCTAAATGTTTTCACAGGACAGAAATGTATTTACACACATCCAGAATTTTCTTCAATCAACTGAAATGTTTTTGGAAGTTATTTCAGAAAAAAAAAAAAGGAAGGAAAAGAAAAAGGTCCAAACTTGATACACGGACAAGGGTAAAGAAAATTTGATTTAAAACATGATTTCAAATCTAACCGAGTCCTTTCCTCTCCACCCTCGGTGCTGGCTATCCACAGTTCCCAAGGATGCAATACAGGTAAACTGCCTCTGAATAGGGATTAATGCAAAAACGTGCCGGCGAAAGCAGTCCTGAACGTCTGTCCGATCACGGGGGGTACAGGCCACCCCCTCTCTCAAGACAAACTGCGGCTGCTGTGGGCTGAGTTTTCTACTGGAAAAGCCCTTTAATCCCGCACCGAAGGCCAAGCCTAGAGCAGCTGGGAAAACGCCCTCCACACGTGCGTGTCCGGCTGCATCCGCCTCCCGCCCCCGAGAAGGGGCCCGCCGAGGCGCGCGGACGCCCGCGCTAGAGCCCACCAGAGGTCGAGGGGCGGGGGAGTGCCAAGCCACCCCGAAGAGAAGGCTGAAAACCCGTTAGTCACAAGACACTACCTTCTTGCTCGCGCGAGGTAGATAGTTATCATCCGCCGGAGGTGAACAGCCGCCCCGGAGCCCACAGCAAGCCTCGCGGGACGCCCCTTTCATTTCAAACGCGCACGCGCGCCCGCGCCCACGGGAGGGGGCGCGCACCTGGCACCTCCCTTAGTCCCGCCTTACCCGGGAGAAGTAGAATTGACGCCGGTGCCAGCCAATCGCTGGACAGCGAGTCCTGCTAGGAAGACTTCCGCCGGCGGCGCAGCACTGGCGCTGCTCGCAGGCATTCGGTACGTGAGGAGACGCAGCTGTCGCCGCCGGGCTGGTCCTGCGCTGTGCGGGCTGCCGGGAGTGGGAAGGCGGGTAAGTTAGCACAAAACAGCCTTGGTGGTGTTACTGCCGTGGTGTGAGGGGGGCTACAGGAGAGGCAGGGCTGGCCTTTTGGAGAGTCGGGGGACAGAGCAGGCTCACGCTGCATCCGCGGCGCTCTGTCTAGCCCGGCGGGCCAAGTGGCCAGAGATGCTCCGCTCACTCTCCCAGCCCCCGTAGTCGCGCCGCGGCCCCGCGGGGACGCGCGGCTGCGACGTCCTAGAGGCGGGCGGGGGTCGGGGGGGGGCGCTTCACGGGAGGCCGCCCGCGGCTGCCCGGCCTCCGGGGGGAGTCTGCTGGTCCCCGTCTTCAAAGGCCCAGCGAGCCTGGGCCGAGCCCAGAAAGCAGTCGTTATTTGTGGTCCCCAGAAGGCGCGGCGCACCTGCTGGGTTTTCCGAATTGGGGTGGCTCGGCCTTGCCACAGAGATGTGATTTTTAGGCCTCTTTCCAGTATTGCCCCGGGAAGTGGACAACCTGTCATTACGTGGGGGCATGTTCTAAGTGTCGTGTGTAACGCCGAAACGATGACGGCTGATAACGACGGATGGTTACGGTACCAATATCGACATGCGTGATTTACACCGACGACTTTTAGCCTTCATCCTCTTTGTGAGGTCTTGAAAGAGTAAAAAGTACCGTAAGCTCCAGAAATTTGCTGGCTAGGTTTATGGGAAATTCCTCTCTGTGCTAACTGTAACGTCGAGTTTATTTTTAATAGGATCTGTAACAAATGTAATCTCAACTCGTTTTCTCCCTCCCTGTGGCGACAGGTATTCTTCAGGGCTAGTTAAAGAGTTCTTAAACCTAAATAAATAGCTTTAAAATGACTGAAAAATATCAGTTCTTCTTTTGATATTTTATCTTAAACAGAAAAGGGGAATGGGAAAACTTAAAAAAAAGAACAACTAAAGTTTTAGAGCAATTGACTAGAGAAATATTCAGAATTCATTGTTTTAATCTACTTTGTCACAGACTGAGAAATAAACATTATCCCCATAACTAGTTTTTATGCATGTCAACAGCTTGTCCCTTACCACGTTCATTGAAAAAACATGTTTTTGAATCCTGACCAGGGAGAATGTTCTATTAGGTTTAAGAGAATATGACTACTAGAACATACTGGCTGGGTCAGTTTTGGTTTTGTTCTTTGTTTATATTAATTTATCATGTTGGAGATTATGATGTTAGGTAAAACTAGACATCAGTATCCCATATTTTCTCATATGTGTGAAAACTAATAATTAAAAAACCTGAAAATAAAAATGGGCTAGACTACCAGAAGGGAGAACCATCGAAGCATAATATAGCAATATTACCATGAAGCCCATTAATTTTGCCTAATTTTAAAAGGTTTATTCTTTTGTAAGTTTACCTAAAGTACTTTGGTAAATTTATCTATTGGCTCTTTACTTTCTTTGTTCATATATTTTTTTAAATGTAGATTTTTCTCTTCCAGGTTGCATTTTCCATGATTGCTTTAGTAAAACTAATATGCTTGAAGACAGCATTAGAAAAGGAAACCATAAAATAAGTGTATTTTATGATAGTCAGATGTTGAGGATTTTTTTTTATATTGCCTATGGCAGCATCTGTAAGAAGCATATTTTGAAGGGTGTGTGTGTGTGCACATGTGCGTTTGTGTGTTTTCCATTTCAGAACAGCAAAGAAAATACATCCTGATAACATTTTGTCATATCAGATTTAGAGGTCTTTTGGCTTAGGTTCCAGCCGTATTAGTGTTAATTCATTTCATTATATTCCTTACAGAGCAAACATGAATGTTGGAGTTGCCCACAGTGAAGTGAATCCAAATACTCGTGTAATGAACAGCCGGGGGATGTGGCTGACCTATGCATTGGGAGTTGGTTTGCTTCATATTGTCTTACTCAGCATTCCCTTCTTCAGTGTTCCTGTTGCTTGGACCTTAACAAATATTATACATAACTTGGTAAGTATTTCGTCTTATTTTAAACACTGAAAACCTTATGGTCTACTAGTTGCCAAGTTAAGGGGAAGAAAGAATGGAATTGATAGGTAAAATTTGTTGTGCAAAATGAAAAAAATTCTGGAGATAAATGTTAGTGGGGGTGGTTATGTAACAATATAAACACACTTAGTACATTATAAACAAAAAAAGTGACTTAGTGATGTTTCTTGGGGCTTCATTTTGTGGTGCCAGGGTCAAAACCAGGGAATAAGCACTCTACCACCAAGCTGCAGCTAGCCAAACAGCTTATTAATTTTAACAGCTTCATTTTAGGTATAATTGTATACTATAAAATTCAACTACTTACAGCCAGACTGCCTCCAAAACCTTGGGCTCAAGTTGTCTTCCTGCCTTATCCTCCTTGGTAGCTAGGAGTGGAGGAAACAAGTCATCTTCTCACATTATTAGCTCTTACTTCCTGTGGGATCACATTTTAATAGATATATTTCTGATTTCTTGTTCTTTTTCCATCTACAGGTTCTGCCCCCCCCTTTTTTTTTAATCTCTTAAATACTGCTAGCAGTTCCAGTGCTCTTTTTCTTCCTCTCTTTTTATGCTGTATTTTTGACCCAGGTTATTTCATCTATCCAAATTTTCAGTGTCTTCTGTAGAATAGTGAAGCTTTTGTTTCTGTTTGTGTGTGTGCACGCACGCACTTGTGCTTGTGCTCATGATGGTCCTGGACTTGAACTCACAGCCTGGGTGCTGTCCCTGAGCTTCTTTTGCTCCAGGCTCGTGTTCTACCACTTGACCCACAGCACCACTTCCAGCTTTTTCTGAGTAGTTTATTGAGATAAGAATATCATGGACTTTGCTGCCCAGACTGGCTTTGAACTGCAATCCTCAGATTTCAGCCTCCTGAGTAGCTGGGATTACAGGCATGAGCCATCAATGCCCTTGGAGGCTTATGTTTATATCAGTAGATTGCCTTACATCTTAAACCAAACAAGAATAAACTAAACTTACTATAATTTCTTATAACCAACAGTCTGCTCCTCTGACATTGTTCCTAATTTTATCTAAAGGCACTACTATCTGCCCTGTAAGGCAGCCAAACAACTGAATCATTGAAACCGATACTGTTTTGAGAAAGGGAGCAGTAGTAATTCACCAAGCTAATAGATAAGCCAGAAACATCCTGTACAAACTAGGACAGATGATTAGTGTAATGTTAGAATAAATATATAAACTCTTTTATGTTCCTTAACCATTTAGCTCTGTTTGTTACTCTGCTCCACTAAGAGCTTGCCCACACCCTCATTTTGTATTTTTTTAAGTACATTATTCCAAGTCAAATGTTCTTTTTTGATATTTCTCTACCCACCTCTATTCCAACTTGACAGAGAAGTATTTTGTTAATGTATGATCACTCAAGTTATGCTGTAAATCCTTCAAGGACTCACCATGGCATTTATGGTAAAATCCCAAGTTCTTTGTGTGACATGCAAGACCAGCTCATAACAGTGTAGAAGTAGAAAGGAACTTCCTTACACCACTCATTTCCAAACACAGGCTCTGCCCTAGCAATAAGGAAAATCATGTTTGATTTGCCTTAAACTCTTTTACTATTTTAATACCCCTACCTGATTCCTACCTGTTTAGGAAAAGTATCAAGCAAACCTCCTCAAGAGGCTATACATCTCTGCATTCTACCATTACATATTTACCATAGTTTTATAATTAGCCATTTATCTTTTTTTTCTTTTCTGTATTTCTTATACTGTGTGTATGTTTTGGCTAAAGCAATTAGTCTTCTTTCTCCAGTGGCATATCTTTAAATGTGTTTTGGCAGCCATCTCCAACTCAAGTTTTCAAATTGATTTGTTGAGATTGAGGCACAGTAGATGACCATGACCAGATACAGACAATAGGTAATTGACACAATGTAAAAGGAAACTTCTGACTTACTTCTTATTAGTTCATCACAGTAGAATTCTAAACTTAACCAACCATAGATGTAGTAATTACATGACTCCCAAATTTAGGTTTCCTTTGAAGGTAGCTTACTTTAAACCAATTAAAAATGTTAGATACATTGTGAATGCTTTAAAATATAGGGAAATAAAAAGTAATTATTGTACCTGTGTAGAAAAAGATACTGTATTTGCCTTTCAGAATCATGGAGTAGAAAGCTAAATGATTATTTTTTGTTTATTTTTTGCCAGTCCAAAACCTGGGAACTATCCCTAAGCTTTTTTGCTTGAGGCTACTGCTCTACCATTTGAGCCACAGCTTCATTTCTATACCTTTTGATGGTAAGATTCTTACAGACTTTCCTGACCATCCTGGCTTTAAACCACAATCCTCACATGTCAGCCTCCTGAGTAGCTAGGAGTACAGGCATGAGTCAATGGCATCTGGCTTATGTAATTATTTTTATTCAGTGCTCCAATTCACTCTGCATAAGATAATGTTAATACTCTATAGGATTATTAACCCAGCTTTAAAATGAAAGAGACTTTTCTTTATATTACTTTACTAAACATTCACTAAATTTTAGACATGAGATACATACTTTTCTAATTCTTTTAATAAATGGATGTTCATCACTAGCAATATTTAAAAAGCTAAAGTATTTAAAAAGCTATTGAACAATATGGGATAGTGGGATAGAGAAAGTGATAGAGGAATTTAATCTGAGTATAATTGTATATGAATTATGGTCAAACCCCTTTGTACAATTAATGTGCTAAAATGAATACAAAGTAAAGAACAAATTTAGAAAATGTTCTAGAAACATACTAGGGCAGAAGATACATGGTCAAAAAAAGATTTTAATTTTCTTTCTTTGTTCTTGTGCTGAGATCTAACTCAGAACTTTTTAAATGATAGGAAAGCAGTAACCTGTTCAAATATTATATTCAGAACACTTCTAAATGCATGTGGTCTTCAGAAAATAGTGAGAAATTGTTCTTTTAGACAAATTCTAACACATGTATGATCTGGAATTGAAGTTCTTCAGTTTTAGAGGTATTAAACTCCTGAGAATTTAAAGGCACACATACTTTCTGCTTCATTGTTCACTTTAAAGCTTTGTAAAAGTGTTTCCCTAGTGTTCATAGCATAAACACTTCTTGCCTTAAAGTCATCTTTCAACACATTTAATACTTGCTGTATATGTACTAGGCCTGGCTTCAGAAGGATTTATAACAATGAGAAAATAAATATGCCAATAACTCAGCCCAATTTTTTGCTCTGCAAGTAAAGGATTTTTGGTGAAATTCTAGACAATCACTTAAACAGGAGGTTAGTTGAGCGATGAGGGTTCACTAAGGAGATATCATCTGAGCTGAACCTTCAAGAATGAGGCACTTGACATGGTAGGACCAAACAGTTTGCATCAGCAACAGGGAACCTTTTCCTCCTGCATTTCTTTAGTACTCTGACTATACCTTTGATAGTAATATCTTTCTGACCTGCCTTCCAGTTGGTTTTTCTCATTTTGTTTTCTTTTTACTATCCTTTATAAGACTAGACTTTCTTTTAAAGCTAGGTCAAATGTTACTCAGTTTCATATGCATACATATATCCTATAACATAAAGCCTCTTCATTAAATATTTACTTACTTCAGCCTTTTCTGCCATAGCTTAGGTATTACAGCAGCTAAACAATTTTTGAATTGTGTAGTAGATTGACTGTAAAACACACTGAAAAATAAAGGGATTTCTTAACCTAGTAAGACATAAAATTGAAAGTCCCTAATTTTTCTATATATTTATTTAAAGCTGAAGCAGAAAAATATGACATCACATCATGGATTCTAAATGGAATATTATTTCATGATAATATTTTAGGTTTATACTTTGACATCACTGCCTCCAACAGTAATCCTGAAATTAAATATTATTTGCCACTCTAAATTGGCATAATACTCTCAAGGAAAAACAAAAGGCAACAAATGTCACAGATAGAATGGCTTTTAATGATTTTTTTTAACTTTAGATTTTAAATAGCATTGAGACACAATAGTGACTACATTACACCTATTAGATTAAGAAGTGGCCATTTTTACTTAGAGAAGTATTTTGGGAAAGGCATCCCTAGTATTAAATATTTAAAAATTTCCTCCACAGAGGCACCTAATACTAAAATGTTTCTGCAAAAATTTCCCCAACAGAGAGATTTTATTATTTTTATTCTGTATGTCTTTGTTGTACAAAAGTCACCAGATTTACTAATAAAATACTCTGAAGAAAATTTTCCCATACATTTGGGAAATGGTAAACCTACATACTTATTTTATCTTTCATAAGAAAGATACTTGGGAACAATTTTCTGAAGCTACCTAAGTAATACTTTTTAAATTCAATTTTAATGAAAACAAGTTACTTCTACTTGTTCTTCCATTGATTTTCATCAAAAAATAATTATAAATCCCAGAAAACTTTATTGTATAGAACTGGCTATAACCTTTCACTCTTAAAAGAAATCTTAGTACTTAAACTACTGAAATAAATTGTACAGTGTCACAAACAGCTTGGAAATTAAAGCTAACTGTCAAGAACTAATGTTCTATTTGATATTGATTGTATTCCCTACTCCCAACCCCCATTGCTTTTTTTCCAGGGGATGTATGTATTTTTGCATGCAGTAAAAGGAACACCTTTTGAAACCCCTGACCAGGGTAAAGCAAGGCTCCTAACTCATTGGGAACAACTTGACTATGGAGTACAGTTTACATCTTCACGGAAGTTTTTCACAATTTCTCCAATAATTCTGTAAGTCACTGAAATACTTAGACTTAAAGAAGGCTGGATAGCATAACAAGGGGGTGTCCAGTTTACCACATTAAATTAGAGTATTTTGTTGAAAAATGTTAGTAGCTATGCCAGATATATATAAAGTTCAATCAAAAATGATTTCTCCATTTATTTGTTTTATTTTTATCATAATAAACTTAAAGTGTTTTGTTTCATTGATTGAAATTTGGCTGGTTGGTGGGCCCTGAAGATTGCTCTTGTATCCTTTTGACAAACAAGATTGCCTATGTTCAGATGTGCTTTCCTTGCTTTAAGCCTGAAATCAGCCATATTTCTGAAGAACTCTTGTTCCTTGAGTAGAAATAGTATTCAGAGAAATCAGAAACAGATATAATTCTTAGCAAGTTAATAAACTACTTTGACTTTAATAAGTACAATTAGAGACAAAAATTACATGATTCTCAGTGTACCAAGAAATTTTAGGGTGTTAAATTTCTTGTAAGAAAATTAAATATTTAATTCTCTGTATTTCCTGTCAGATTAATGGCCTTAAACAGTGATTTAGATGGTCATAAGAATTTTATTGGTCACACAGCCTATTTAGATAGCCTATTTCAAGCTTCTTAGAAGAAGAAAATAAGGTTTATTTAAAAGAGTTTAGGCTTTCAGTGTAGGACAGACCTAGGTTGAATTGTGTAGCTATGGTTTAGTCAGCGTGGTTTGTTCATATTTAAGAACTAGCTAATGATTCCTAAATTAATCTTGATGCTGTAAGAAATAAATTAGTTACTTATTTGTAAAACATTAAATCTTGTATCTGGCTTTTAATTTCTTATTTAGGGGCCTCCACGAAATTGTTCCTATGTCAATTTTCCTTTATGTAAATATTTTATCTTCACTCAATTTCCCACTTGATCAAACATACAAACTCTGCTTGAACTCAGGGAGGGCTTTGCACACTCAGCTTGCTTGCTCATGGCTGGCTTTCTACCACTTCGACAACTCCTCTGGCCTGGCTTTTTGCTGGTTAAAGATGGAGTCTGTCAGACTTGTGTAACTTTTGTGACTGAGCTGGTTTGAAACAGTGATGTTCCTCTTGAGTAGCTTAGGATTGCAGGTATAGGTCATTGACATCCAGCAGGTGTGAAGACTCTTCTAAGTAGCTTTCAGTAATACTTCTGTGCCTTTGTTCAAATTGATTCTAACAAAATGGCATTTCTTTTAGTTTTTATGCATAATATAGCAATTGTTTTCTTCCTACAAGTTTATGAAAGCATCACTTTGAATCACACATGTAGTTTGCATATGATAGCTGTATTTTGCATATTTTTTGTGTGTTTGGATAGTTTTTTGACATGGGCTTAATAGCTTTAAAGTTTGAATCTCAGTCACTTAATGCACCTGATACATATGTTTTACATATTTTTTGGTGGTGACATAGTGGTTGAGACGAGGTCTTATAATCCTGACTGACCAATTCATTTTATTGGCCTTAAACTTGTACTCTTTCTTTGCTTGCTGGGATTATACATAGATTATACATAATAATGTATCTGTTGATAAAATCCGTGCATTCTGGAAAAGTTGAAACACTTGCTGTGGAGGTGTTGCAATTCTTAAATCTGGGACTTAAGAATGGGTAGATATTTTTTAAAGGCATTTTCAAGTGAACAGAATAAACTAATGGTAAAGCAATATGAATGAAAAACATATGGTATAGCAAAAATAAATGCAATAAGAAGAATAATAGTTATTTGGGCAGTCCTAAATTAGGATTTTAAACTCTGCTCCATTTGCCTATCTTTTTAAAAGCTTCAGTTATTTCAACTGTAATTATGTAGAGGATTGTATTATAGGATAAAAAAAAGCTTGACATATACTGACATCTTAATAAGAGCACATTTTTTAAAATGTAATTCTGACCCACAGATATGATTTCAGTTATTTTAACTAAATTCCTTACATCACTGAACAAAGAGAATTTAAACCCATTTATATAGAGAGATATTTTTCATAGTGCTGTGTATTGAACCCAGCCAGGCATGCATTCTGTTATCCCTATTATTTTTCAAAGTGCTTTCTCATTTTCATATTTGCTCATAATTTGTGTTTAAAGAACAAAGTTAAGAAGTAAAGATATTTCGACTATTTAGAGTCAAGTCAAAATAAAACCATATTATCTTAGGTCTTATTCTAATAAACACCTTGAAGACCTCTGAAAGTAAATAAATGTGTTGTCACTGATTCCCACTTGGGTTTTTATTCCCTCAATCCATCATCTAAGTTTGTTTTTTTTTTAACAGTGGGATTACATTCATGTAATTGACAGTTTCCATTAAAATGAAAAAAAGTGAACATTGCCGAATGTAGGGATAGTGGAGAATCCAAACCAAGATTGTTTCCAATCTATCAGATTCTCCATTAAGCTCATAATAAAGACGAGAAATCACATAAACTTACTAAATGTAAATATTCTTTTATTCAGTGAAGTAAATATAAAAACAATCTTCAAGCATATTAAAGCAGCAAGAAAGAATTTAAAGAACGATTTGAGGAACATGATTTCTATTTGTAAAATAAAACAAATTACTCAATCTACAAGGTTATGAAAATGATTCTCTGAAAAACTTCTCTCAGGTGTTCTTTCTAAGCATAGTACACATTTTTCTCCACTTAGAAGAAACTAATAACAGTAGCTAGAAGAAAGGCAACTAAAATATTTCCCTGTGTACGCTAAAAGTAATTGGACAAACATTTATTTAGAAACTAACTTGTTAGTTATGAAGTAAGACACCATATTTTATTTTTTGTATCTGATGTTAAGGCACTCAATAATACATCTGGACTTAGTAATTTATGGTCTTAATGGTAACTGATACTTGTCAAAACAGATTGCCCTAAGGTGGGTGTCTAATGCAACTTTGTATCAAAACAGCTAGAATTTTACAAATGTGTCCTTCAGATTTCTAGGGAAGATAATTTAACACCTCTTCATTTATAGTATGAAAATGAGAATAGCCAAAAATTTATGTTTTTCAAAGATTAAATAGTACCAGTGTACCTAATCCTAACTTTTCAAACGTTTACATCAGTGGTTCTTAACCTTTGGGTGAATCTAAAGTTCTTGGAGAACACAATCAACACTTGAATCCAGATTTTATAAATACAAAACTAACCTGAAACATCAGGTTAGTGTGAAACCACCTTTGATAGCCTTCTTTAAAGGATGCTGATGACAGTACATTCTTAAGTGCATTTAGTACAATTGCAGAAATACAAAATGTACACCTCGAACAAAATTTTAAATCCCAAATCAAACCTGTTTCCTTTCATTTCAGTGCTCAATCATAACTTTGCTTTTAAGAATTTGTGTTTTGTGACCTTAACTCTACCTTTTATTAATTCTAAGTGATTTGATTTTTATATATTGTATGTATTCTTTTATCTCTACAGATATTTTCTGGCAAGTTTCTATACGAAGTATGATCCAACTCACTTCGTCCTAAACACAGCTTCTCTCCTGAGTGTGCTTATTCCCAAAATGCCACAACTACATGGTGTTCGGATCTTTGGAATTAATAAGTATTGAAATGGTTTGCAACAACAATCTGCTTGCAGCTACTGAGGTTCCTGTAAGGAAGGAGTAGTTAGTAAACTGCACTCTCTTTCTGTGATAATGTAAATGAGAGATGTTTACATTGGAGGACCAGTTGCTGGTTCTTCATACGCTGTCTTGAAGTGCAGAATTCTGAAAGATGCCTCTATTTAATGCATCTGGTTATTTCTGAAGAGGCTTTATAGTCAGGCTGGGCAGGCCCAGCTTTTAAGTTAATTACAGTACAGTGAGGGTACAGTAGATAAATCCAAGGAATTACAGATTTGTAAGGAATTAGGACCAGTTTATTACCAATAGGCATTATGTAAGGAAAAGGAAAAGAAAATTTCCAGTCATTTGGGCACAGTCAGTTTGAATAGACTTACATAAAAACCAGAATAATCTCTGTAAAAGTTTATTATAGATCATTTTTTATTTCAATATTCTTATTTTATATGAGGATATATATACCCTCTTGTTTTGTACAAGCCAGTCTCTCCCTGAAGAGTGCCCTTTTGATTCTGCTGGCTTATTATTGTGTGTTGATGGCTGAGGTCATTATTGCATTTATTACATTACAGAGCTCTTGACAGTCTCTCTTCATGACTGATTAGGGATAGAAGATAGCCACATATCTTATCAAGCAGTCTTTGACTCAGCATTCTAATTTTGGAACAAAGAGGGGTTTACTACTTTTATGGGCAGGGCTGTTAAATTAAGAGAACAATTTATTTCAAGCAGTTCAAGTATGATAGTTGAAAGGTCAATTTATTTGGATGAGTAACATAATTGGTAAAGTCTGTTACTTTAGAAAAGGATATATAAAATGGGCAACTATAAAGTCATCTGTGGTCTAGCAGAATCTAATAGCAGTATACTAAAGTCATTTTAGCAAGTATAAGGTAAAAGATAACATTGTCTTTTCTTAGTAATCCTGCTTTCAGCCCTCATAGTTTGCCCATTTATATATTGCCTTTTAAATATGTGGGTCTTTTTGTAGATAACCCCAAATGGCAATTATTTCCAGAGAGCAGCTATATTTGAATTCCTATGATTCAGTGAACCTCCCTGAGATTAATTCCGAAAAGCAACTATATACTACTTTTAGAAGTAAACATATCAAAAAAGTACTACATATCAAAAAATTCCAATATAGGTTAAAACTGAAAATTCAATAGCATAAGTAAAATTGAGTGAATAGTTGTAGACCAACTTAAAAATCAATTTGTGTCAATAAACTGACTTGTAGGGTAGTGATCATTGTTTTATATCTCAAAAGTATTGAGTTTAGAAATGAGTTGTATGATACTGCCTTTGTATGTTTGTGTTTTCCCATGTATTTTTAAATAATTGGTAATTCATACTTTAATAAAAGGTTTCCTTGGTGTAAGATTATTTCAAAAGCTTTCCAATTCAGTCATCAAAACTACACTGCCACTTTTCAAGTTTATTTTTAAGATTAAGATAACTAAAAATGTTCCTTTGTTTTACTTAATTTTAAAGTTAATCTGAAAGGCTTCCATTTTTACACATATTTCAAAAATGGAAGCCTTTTCCAATTTCCCTCATTTTCCCTTTTCAATGGGATATTTGGTGGCCCACTCTGTTCCACGTACTATAGACAGTATTACTGATTTTATGAGCAAGACAATCCAGTTCCCTTCCCTGCAGTTCTTAATCTCGTTGAAGACCAGATAAGGTAATACTTGGTATTTCATAAAGTGTGATAAATTGTATGGGGAAAAAAACAGGTGATAGAACTACCTCTGAAAGTTCTTTCCTGAGGATCTTATTGAGTAACGTTTGAGCAACTCTAGTACAAAGATTGAAGATGATTTCCACTAAGGGTATTGACAATTATTGAAGAATTATTGAAAGCAGGGAGAATGAGACATCTAAAGGAATTGTAAAGACATAGCAAGGAGTAGAAAGTTATAAAATTAGGTCTAAGAAGTAGGTAGAGAGGCCTGATAATTTATTCTATGTATGACAGAACCATTGTAGAATTATAGGGAAAATTAACAGGTTCTAATTTTTTTCATCAACACCACTAACATTGAGAATCACGGGAATGGAAAACAGGAAGAATAAATTGAGACGCTCTTGTAAGAAATAGCTTATAACTGAGGAAGTTACAGATGAAGTAAGACAGTTTGGAAATGTACTTTGTATCTCCAAGCAGCTCACAAGACATTGTTGAATTTGGGATGGCAAGAGGGAATTTAAGTGACTCCTAAGTCTTGGCCTTAACAGGTAGATGAATGGTTGTACTCAATTTGAAAACTTCTAATTTCACTATATACTATTTTTTTAGAGTTGATAAGATATACAGTAACACTTCTTTTATGGGTGCTTTTTTTCCTTAATACAACCTACTAGCATTTTAACTTTTTAGTATAATTTATTTTTTACTATTTTAAGGTCATTGTACAAAAGGATTTCAAATTAACAATTTCAATTTATGAGTACATGCACTTTAGCCCTTTTGATAGCCATATGTCACTGAATTACTCGTGGTGACTAAAATCTGACATCTTCAACATGCAATGCTGTAAAACAGAAGGAATTATCATACCTAATCAAACAAGATGACTAGGTTTTCATACTCTTAGCTCTTGAGTTTTCTTTTTCCTTTTATTCTGGCAGTCAACAATTGGCCACCAGAAAAGTGAGTTATTCTGTCTCCTGGAAGTTAAAAAAGATTTCAGAGCCAGATGTCCAGTCTGAACCATTTTAGGAGATGTGTGACTTGTAAATTACCCCACCCCTGTGCCCTCCTTGGTTGTGAAATGAGGACAGAAACCAACCACTCATGGGGATTTCATTTAATATTCTACCAGTGTTTAGCAGATAAATGCCACTTCATTGATATTGTTACATATAAATGAAAAACTTTGAAAAGCAATCATTCCAACTGAGGTAATTGTGCATCTAGTTGTTTTTATCTGTCTTGGGCTCTATTTTTAAGTTACATACCCTGAGCTTCATACTCTGCAAGGCACAGATGAGCTAGTCCTAGCTAACCTTGCTTGTGAAGTCTTTGCTTACTAAAACCCTAAAGTTTAGCAAGGGAGAAGACTGAGGAGAAATCCATTCAGAGAAATGGTAAGAAGCTCATAATCCAAGCCAGAAAAGACTGAAAAACGTGCAAGAAAGTGAGTCCATAACTACATGTGGTTGCATGCATATGTAGTAAGCGGGAGCTATATGTAATCCAATACAAAAATATATCCTGTTAAAAATTACCACTCCCACTTGCTTGCCTATTTTTAGATTAAAAAATTAAGTCAGCCGCAGACGTTTCACTCAACATGAATTGGGAGAACAGTAATGATTTTCCACTGTTGGCCTGGAAGTACCAACATCCTACTCTCCACGTCCAGCTGAAAGTACTGCATTAGGTATGTCCGCCCCACCATCTCTATTGAGCGTTAGTTCCCCCAAAACGAAATGACTGTACCTCACCCTCTTCTCAGAGTGAAGAATCCAAAGGCAGAAAAACTTAGAATGCGGCAGAGCCGGGAAAATGCTGTTAGTGAGACCCAGTGACAAGGGAGCCTGGTTTCCTGCGGGTCCGGGAGTAGTGAGAGCACTCGCACAAAGTGAGAGACGAAAGTCAGCTCTGCCTACGGAGCGCCGCCTAGCGGAGCAGGAGCGGCCAGCGCGACGAAGGCAGGCACGCTGGCCCGGGCTGTGGCGTCACTTCCGGGCGCCGTCCCGGCTCGCGCGCCGCGGGGGACCTTATGGCCGGTTCAGGGAGAGGGCACGGGGGTCACTTGGTTCTCCAGGACGGTGGGTAAGGTTGTTCATCGCTGACTCCGCGAATGCGTACCCACTTCTGGGGATACGGGTCCAGCCCGAGTCCCCCCCCTCGGGTCAGAGAGAAACTCCTGCTCTCGTCACCCGGTTCGCTTGGAAGCAGCCTTGCCCTTGCCAGGTCTAATTCCCGGCCGTCTCAGCTTCTCCAGACGGCTTCTCATCCCTGCATGGCTTCTTTCCCATTACAATAGTCTTCGCTGCCTTGCTTCATTTTTCCGATGCTGGGAATCGAATCCCAGGCTTTTTGCTTCCTAAGCAAGCGTTCTAACGCGGAGCCACATCTTCAGTCCTTATTTTGATCTGAACCCCCGATTTTCCTTTGAGAAGGAAAGGACTTGCTTTGCATTGTAAAAATACTAAAGTGTTTTAGCGGTAGGCTAAAGAGGATTGGGGACGGAAATTATGGTTACCTGGCAAAAGTGTAAATTTAACTCAGAATAAAATGTGTTAGCCCTCCCTAGGAAGTTCTTCTGAGACCTGAGGACTTCAGAACACATATCATTAATGAGGTTGAAAGGCAAATTAAAGACTGAGAGCGCGAGAGAGAACTAATTCCTGCAGATGTAGCAGGTTTGTGTTCTTTTGATTTTAAATAAAAGTGACTTCTTCCAGGCAGAAATTTTAAAATGTCATTCTGTAATGAAAAAAAAAGTGTTAGTAATTTTAGTCAAGATGTGTTCCTTTAGGTTAATTTTATGTGATGATTGTTTCTAAACTAGAAAACCATATACTGACTGGTGTGCATGTGTGTTCTAAATAATTGTTATTTAAAGGATAACATTTTATTAGGAATTGCCTTTATAAAAAAAATACCACAGTTTGTCTTCATTTTGGTTTCCAAATATTTTTTTTAAAAAAGCATTGGCATAGGGCTGGAAAGGTGGCTCAATGGTAGAGCGCTTGCCTTGCATGCCTGAGGCCCTGGGTTCGATTCCTCAGCCCCACATAAGCAAAAAGAAAAAAGCTGGAAATGGTGCTGTGGCTCAAGTGGTAGAGCGATAGCCTTGAGCTGAAGAGCTGAGGGACAGCGCTCAGGCCTAGATTTCAGGCCCCATGACCAGACCCCCCCCCCGCAAAAAAAAAGCATTGGCATATGTGAAATAGCTTTGGGATGGGATCCACATCTAAACATGAAACTCATATGTTTCATACACTCCTTAACATATAGCCAGGAAGTAATTTTATATTTTTATAAAATTTATATTTTATATTTGCTTAAGTTAACACAGACATAGTTCTTCAGGTGTGGAGTTTTACTGTGCCAGTGTCCATGCTCAAAAAGATTTTTTGAAATTGGGAATCAGCATCTCATACCTGTAATATCTCAGGAAGCTGAGATCTGAGGATCAAGGTTGAAAGCCAGCCTGATCAGGAAAATCCCTGAGATTCTCATTTCCAAACAACTACGGAAAAGCAAGAAGTAGATAAAGTGGCTCAAGTGTTAGAGCACTAGCTTTGAAGAAAAAGCCAAGCAAGAATGCAATTCCTGAGTTCAGGCTGTGTACTGGAACAAAATTGGAGTGTTTTAGAGTTTTGGTTTGGGGTTACTTAAAAATACAAACAAAAAAACCTTGGAAGTGATGCTGTGGTCCCCAGGCCCTGGGTTCAGGTCCCACAACTGACTAAATAAATAAACAAATAACCATGCATAGTGTAATATACCTATAATCCTATTTACTCTGGAGACAGAGAATGAGAGGAGTGCTATTCTAATCTTGCCAGGGCAGGGCAAAATGTTTCAAGACACCATTTCAACCAATATGTCATCCAACTACCTAAGATAAACAGGAGACTTTATTTGAAAAACAAAGCAAAAAGAATTGGGGGCCTGGCTTAAAGTTGTAGATTACCTTTCTAGCAATCATAGGCCCTGAGTTTAAACACCAGAACTGCCTTTTTTTTTTGTATCACACTTCTTTTTTCTATCTTTAAAAGCCTTACATTCGTTAATACTTCTATTATATACAGATTAATACTCATATACACAGACTGCTAGGGCATTATGAACTTTATCATCATCTTTACAAACTTTACTAAATTCTATAGGACAATATAGTAAAAAAAAAGCATTATTTTGCTTAATTAATGGGTTAATTGCTAATATCAGTTCCAAATAATAGCTTTTCTCTCTGTCACTATTTTCTAGAAATTATCTATACAGTAGGAAGCATGCTCATACTGAATAAGACAGCTGGAGTTTTTTCCAAACCATCAAAAAGCAAAGTTTATGGATTTTTAAGAACTTTTAATTTTCATCCTGAACCACAATTTCTTCATAAACTGGTACTGGGAATTGAAACTAGCTGTGATGATACAGCAGCTGCTGTGGTGGATGAAACTGGAAAAGTCTTAGGAGAAGCAATACATTCCCAGACTGAAGTTCATTTAAAGTAAGTAGACATTGAAGTTCATTTAAAGTAAGTAGACATTATTTTATAATTCCTACCTTATTTTGAAAGAGTTAGATGAAACCATTCCTTCTGAAATCATTTGTCACATATACAAGTTAAATTTTAGGAACTTTATTATCTCTTTGTGTAAAAGCAGCTAGCAACTGATATAGAAAGCCACAACACCTCATCCTGGATTTTAAGGCTTCTCATTGTATGATACTAGCCTTTGCTGATGTCTTTACCAAAACTGAACATAAGCTCACTCCAATTGTAATTCAGTGATTTTTGTTTGTTTGTCTTATCATGCTGCCTTAGATTGTAAATCAGTCAGATATTTTTCTTGCTAACAAATTTCCCTCCGAACTTGTTATTGGGAGTAACTCTTTTGTTTTACATGGACCAAAACTATCATCCCAACACTGAATATTCAAACTTTATTTTAGGATTGTGAGCTATCCATTATCCTGGTATTACCTTAAGTGCAATGTGTTTAAAAATCAATTCTTCAGAAACTTTTTTTCATGTTTCTGTTTCTATTTCTTATCTGTTCCATCTTATCTGAATCATCTTTGATGCCTTGGTCCCTCATGACTCTGTGTCCAATTAACTTATTACTATTTTCAAAGCTTTGTCCTCTTTCCATTTCATATCACACAGTTTGAGTCAGTTTGCACAAATAATTTTGAAATATTTTAAATTTCTCAGTGTGTAAAGCACTTAATTTTCCTAAAATATTTTATCCTGTTCTTCCCATGCAGACTGCTTTATTGTGTTTAATATGATTGTGTTTAACTTCTTCAGTATGTTTAAACAAAATTTTATCCTGTCTTTCCTTTCCTCGTGATTTCTTTAGAATGGTTAAAAGTTTGTTTTAGTGACAAGTCTGGGAATTTTGTTGAAAAGTTGAGTCAGAAACATTTTTCTCTAATCACTATGTAGTAAGTTCCTACTATAGTGTGTTGCTTTATAAAGCACATGAATTGAACATGCGTGTTACTAATATTTTCTGCTATATGATGATTGATGTAGAACCATATCAGCTATAACTGCATCATTTTTCTTTCTTTTCCAACATTATTATGAAAGCTGTCTTTTTGTTCCTTTCAGAACAGGTGGGATTATCCCTCCAGTAGCTCAACAGCTTCACAGAGAAAATATTGAACGGATAGTACAAGAAGCTCTTTCTGCCAGTAGAATCTCTCCAAGGGAACTCTCAGCGATTGCAACCACCATAAAACCAGGACTTGCTTTAAGCTTAGGAGTAGGCTTATCATTTAGTGTACAGCTGGTAAAACAGTTCAAAAAACCGTTCATTCCCATTCATCATATGGAGGCTCATGCACTTACAATTAGATTGACTAACAAAGTAGAGTTTCCTTTTCTAGTTCTTTTGATTTCTGGAGGTCACTGTCTGTTGGCATTAGTCCGTGGAGTTTCAGATTTTCTGCTTCTTGGAAAGTCTCTGGACATAGCACCTGGTGACATGCTTGACAAGGTAATTAATTTCATTCTTTTCTATTATAATGCATCAATTAAATAATAGATGTGTTCATCAAAGTATTTTAGTGATATTATATACTGAAAAACACAAAAAGGGTATGGTGATACCTGTCTATAGTCCAAGCATTCTGGAGGCTGAGGTAGGAAGATCTATTTTTAAGGTCTCCCCATACTATATAGGAAAACCTTGTCCCAAAAATAGTAATAATAAAATATTTTAAAGCTAGTACATAATTTTTTAACTTTTAGCCATACTAATAGCAAGTTTTATATCTACATGTAAAGGTGAAAAGAGCTTGCAGCTGCAGTCATTATTGTAGTTAAATGTTTGTGAAAAATGCTTTGTAAGTTATAGCATACTGAAAAAATTAAAATGAAAGGATATGTAAAAATTAACATACCAATTTTGTAATTAAGTTGTACCATATACATTGGTTTTTTGGGGGGGGGTTAGAGTGCTACTGACAACCCACAGTGCTTGTGATCTCTGCCTCTTAAGTAACTGAGATTACAGGTATGTATTACCATGTCCAGTCCTAGTATATTTTACTCATTCAGTATTTTTAGAATATTTTTTCTTTTGTCTTTTGCATATTATTATTTCAAAATGTGTAATTTTAACTAATTAAGTAATACATATGTTTTTGTTTTCGATAGGTAGCAAGGAGACTTTCTTTAATCAGACATCCAGAATGTTCCATCATGAGTGGTGGGAAGGCTATAGAACATTTGGCTAAACAAGGAAATAGATTTCATTTTGATATCAATCCACCTATGCAACAGGCTAAAAACTGTGATTTTTCTTTCTCGGGGCTTCAACATATTATTGATAAAATAATAATGCAAAAGGAAAAAGAAGAAGGTACATACATAAATATACATTTTTTTAACCTTAATATACTGGGATGTTTTCCTTTAAGAAGAAGGTATATATCTAATTGGTAAAGTTGGGCAGATAATCATGGATTTTGCCTAAAAATACCTAATCATTTCTGTAGGTATTGAGAAGGGACAAATCCTGTCTTCGGCTGCAGACATTGCTGCTGCAGTCCAGCACACAACAGCATGCCACGTTGCAAAAAGAACACATCGTGCTATTCTCTTTTGCAAGCAAAGAGACTTGTTACCTCACAGTAATGCAGTAGTAGTAAGTTTTGTCATCTAATCTACTGACAGTATACTTTACAGTTCCTTACTTTTTCTCAAGAATTTTATCCTATGTTTAAGTAAATATAGTTCTAATGGTCTGAAACTATTCAGAGTAGAAAAGACAACCATTTATAGTATAGCCTGGGTAACAAAACCACCAGGGTCACTCCTCTTTCAACTGAAAATATTTATATAAGTAATCAAGTACAGTAATTCCATTCTATATTTCTAGAAAACTGGTATCTTTGAACCTTTATTAAAATCCCTTTAAATATTCTTAAAATTCTTGATATAATCATTTTATTTAATATAACCTAGCTTTATTATTCTGATGAAGTAAAAAATGTTTAAATGGCTGGGCACTGGAGGCTCATACCTGAAATTCTAGCTACTCAGCTACTGAGATCTAAGGATCATGGTTCAAAGCTAGCCCAGACAGAAAAATCCATAGGACTCTTATCTCCAATTATCCACCAGAAAATGGAAGTGGAGCTTGGCTCAAAGTGGTAGAGCACTAGTCTTAAGTACAAAAGCTCAGGGACAGCGCCTTGGCCCTGAGTTCAAGCCCCATGACCAACCAAAAGAAAAGTTTAAATGATTATTTGTGAAAGAAAATAATGAATTTTAACTTTTTGAAGAATCTAGTAGAATGAAAAAAAGTGGTCAGGGTCTAAAATATCAGTAACATACTTGCAATTATGTAAATATTCTAATAAAATTGTTTATATGTTGATATCAAAATTGCTAGTGGGTTTTTTTTGTCAATCTCCACATTTTTATTACGTAGACATATCACTTTATCCATTCCCAAACCCAAAGTGTGATAGTTTATTGTTTAAAGCTGACATTTTCTCCAGTCATAATTAATAGCTTGGGTTTATGTATACATATATATATAATATATTACACTATATATTATGTATAATATATATTACATATCTATATATATGTAATAGTTGTGAATTTTGGTCTTCTTGATTGCTTCAGGTTGTATCTGGAGGTGTTGCAAGTAACTTGTATATCAGAAGAGCTTTGGAAATTGTAGCAAATGCAACACAATGTACATTGTTGTGCCCTCCTCCCAGACTGTGCACTGATAATGGAATTATGATTGCATGGTAAGCCACAGGACATATGTATTCTTTGCTCTAATGATGTAAATAGTACTTACATTTCACCATACTAAGTCATTTTCCTATCAATCTTTAGGATATTGATTTTAACACTTTTTGTTTAGGAATGGTATTGAAAGATTACGTGTTGGCTTGGGCATTTTACATGACACAGATGGCATCCGCTATGAACCAAAGTAAGTGCTACTATTTCTAATTTCTATACAAGTTACATTACAGAAGCAAAGCCTGGATTTTGCTTTCACATGAGGATTTCTTTGATATCTGATGGTAGTTGAAGGAGAGTTACATTTTTTTCATGAAGCCAGTTAAATATTTTTGAGAAAAAGTTAAGAATTAAGAAATGACTTATGGGTGTAATTTTGACATAATCACCATGGCCTGAACTTTTGCAGTATCAAATAGGTTTCAAAACCAGCTGAAAACTCACAGAAAGCATTCAGATGTAATACTGGCCTGTGATTATGCTCTTACAAGAGTAGCTGAGCACTGGACAGAAGATAGCTGTTTACTACAAGCCTTATTTCCTCTCTCAAATCAAAGTTTCAATAGTATCATTTTAAAATTTGCTATGAAGTTCTGCTCTCAGTTAATTCTGTAATACTAAAGGGCTTACCTTTTATAATCTGACATAATTCTATTTAAACATTGTTTTATCTGATATTGATATATTTTAGTCCATAATGAGGCAGTTGTGCTATGTTAATCACAAACTTTAATATGATTGTGAAATTAGTAGTTAAGTTAGTAATGTTTGAAAGAATCTCCTGTGTGTTGAAGAAGATCATAAAAAGGAGGGTAGGAGCTAGACCATTCCAGAACGATAATACACAAAGGAAGGTTGGAAAGGAAAGAAGAATTCACAGAAACCTGGAGAATTTCTAAAATGTAAATGGATGAAAGTTTGACCTAAACTGTGTGACAAAATGGTTTTTCCCCTTTAGTTTTATTATAAAAAAAAATCCTTCATCATTTTTGTTTCACTTATGGACTTATGGTTGTGTGTGTGTGTGTGTGTGTGTGTTTCACGAGAGACTGAATACGTGGTTCAGTGCTTAGGCAAGTGCTCTACCACTGACTGAACTACATTACCAGCTCTCATTTAAGTTTTTAATTTACTAATTTACAGACTTGAGAATAGAATTCTTTCAAAAAATCTCAAAATTTAGATTTCTTATTAATAAGATGATCTTTATTATCTTAATTTGAAAATCAATATAACTGTATCTATGTAGGAACTAATAGGAACTATTAACACAGGATGAATTATATATTAGATTCATACATTATCAAAACTAAGCAAATAGTGTACAGAACATGTGGTAGATGGATATGAAGCAAGTATTGAAATAATGTCACTTTTTAAATTTATGATACAGATGTCCTCTTGGAGTAGATATATCAAAAGAAGTTGAAGAAGCTGCTATAAAAGTACCATCATTAAAAATGAAGATTTGATTTTTACTTTCTGAAATTTTTCTACAGGTAGTATTTCAACATTAAAGTTATTTTAATATTTTATGTATCAGATTGTAGTTATATATTAATTAGCCATCTAGACTTTATTTTATGGGGAATACTGAAGGAAGTTGGTGGAAAGGGGAAAAGGAGCAGTAGAAGAGAATATGATGGTAGTATATTGTATGTACATGTTGTTAAGTCAAATAAAATAACTAGACTGCCAGAGAACCATGCAAGACTACTTCTCACAAGGGAGAAATGAGAAGCAACATCAGCTATAGTCTGGGGTGACCTTATATAACCTAGGTGGTTTTAAGAGGGGCTAGAAGAAGGGAGGCAGAGACCCTGGTGTGGACGTGTGGGCCAGGGGCTTCATCATGTCAGACTAGGATTTATGGCTGTTATCCAAATGGTAGATAAAGGTCCTGCCATTTGTTCAGACAAAAGATCACTTTAAGCAGCTCTTGTTGCCTCTTGTTGTAGCTGCCCCAGAGAAGTGCCATCCTAAGGTAAATGGGATTGGAAGTTGATTATTTACTGCCTTTACTACATAGGCTGGTATCACCTATGAAGGGAGCATGCTAAGCTGTAGAGAAGGGAAGGAGTGGACTAAGCTATGGGAAGGGACTCATTTCAGTAACACATGTAAAAACAATGAATCCTATTTTTAAAAACTGCAAGAAAAATTTTAAAGGAAGACCTGGAGAGATGAATGATAAAAAAAGACAGAGGAAGTGAATATGATCAAAGCACATTATATGCATTAATATATACTAATAAAAATAACTTTTAAGACTCTTGCTATTCCTTATCTTATGTCTGCTCTTCTGAGAGGCTAGTATGATAGTCTTAGCTGGAAGCTAGACTAGACAGAAAAATTCAAGATACTATCTTCAATTAACAAAAGTCAGAATAGAGGCATAGCTTAAGTAATAAAGTGCCATCCATGAATGGAAAAAAGAAGAGAAGCCCTGAGTTTAAGTCCTGATACTGGCATAAAATAAAATACATAGAAGAAACTTTTCAATCACATTTTATATTTGGATTTGTGCTCTATATCTGAATTCATTGTTAGAATAATACAAATTATGAAGTGAAGTTCACCAAAATTTTTCTGTCACATAAACTATAAGAATAACTATAATCTGAAATTTTCAGAGTCTAAAAATTGTTCCAGGTGCTCTCCCAAGAAGGATAAAAGGAAGTAACAGAGAAAAAAGGAAAAGGGAGAATTATCAAGCTTATATTGGCAAACACATGTGCCAAAATTATAGTACAGCTAAAAGGTAGGCAACTGGTTGAAACCTTGCATGTCTTGAGTCTTCTCTCAGCCATTATTTTTGTTTTATGGAAAAGAAAACATGGTATAATAAAAATAATCCTGAGAATGTCATATATTGTAGGAATGGTAGGATGGTCTGATTTAGTCAAAACACAGGAAATACCTGTGACTAAACAAAAGGTTTCCCTTATTCTCAACCTAATAATCATCTTCAAATAGTCTAGAGCCAGGTCACATGCCGATGGCTCATGCCTGTAAGCCTAGCAGCACAGAAGGCTGAGATCTGAGGTTCAAAGCCAGCCAGGGCAGAAAAGTCCAAGAGACTCTTATCTCCAGTAAACCACCAGAAAACTGGAAGTGGCACTGTGGCTCAAGTGGTAGAGCACTTGCTTTGAGCTGAAGAGCTGAAGGACAGCATCCAGGCCCAGAGTTCAAGCCCCATGACCAACAACAACAAGAAAAAAAAAACAGTAACAAAAAAATAGACCTTGCGTGAAACCAGTTTCAAAGTACAAAAAGGTTTTTTAAAAAAATATATATTTAGAGGCTTACACTGTCCATTGATATGAATTCTTTTGGTACTAAATAAAAGGCACAGTTCCTTATCATTTGATTTAATTATCCTTTAGTGTAAAACATTCCATTCTCCCCTCCACCCCCATGTTTTCTATATTTTAGTCCATTAATCAGAAAGTTGTAACTCAGACATAGAAGACAAAGGAAAAAAGAGGCAGTTTGACTAGAGGTATGATTGGAGTGAGGTGGAATAAGCCAAAGGACATCTTGATCCACCAGAAGCTGGAAAAGACAAGAAACTGATTCCCTTCTAGAGTCTTCTGAGGAAATTATGCCCAGCTTTGAACCTGATTTTAAACTTCTATTCTCCAGAATCATAAGAGGATAAATGTTGTTTAGAGCCACCAAATTATAAATAAATAAATAAACAAATAAATAGTTGTGACTTAAAACACTTAATATAATTTGACTTGAATTAGAAGATTTAAGAGGTCTTTTAAGTTGAAGTCTTGCTGTGGTTAAGAACACAGGCTTTGGGCTGGGAAGGTGGCTCAGTGGTTAAAGCGCTTGCCTTGCATGCCTGAGGCCCTGGGTTCGATTCCTCACACCACATAAGCAAAAAGAAAAAAGCCGGAAGTGGTGCTGTGGCTCAAGTGGTAGAGTGCTAGCCTTGAGCTGAACAGCTGAGGGACAGTGCCCAGGCCCAGAGCTCAGGCCCATGACCGGACCCAAAAAAAAAAAAAAAAAAAAAACACAGGCTTTGGACTCTAAGAAAGACCTAAATACATGTAGCTACTATCATTCCCACCATTATTGTAGCATTAAAGCATGTGAATACTAGTTACTGTATGTATTTGATGCTTACTGGAGCCCAAGTAAGAAATGGATATAACAAAACCCTCTGGCAATTGAGCAAAGCAGATAGAGAAAAGGGATGGGGGGGTGGGGTTAAGAACCCACTGAAGTTCAGTTGTACTTGTATCACATTTGTGTGATGTAAAAGTAGAAGCAGAAATACACCAAACCATGTACCCATTTAAAATGTCTTTCAAACAAATACATTACATGGTTTTAAGCCACAAAGAATATTGTCCTTTCTAGCTACAAACTAAACACACTTTGTTTAAATAATGGAGGATGTTTAACACTGGCAGCTAAGTTTTTTGTTTTTTGGATTTTTTTTTTTTTTTGCCAGTCCTGGGGCTTGAACTCAGGGCCTGGGCACTGCCCTGAGCCTCTTTGTGTTCAAGGCTAATGCTCTACCATTTGAGCCACAGTACTCCTTCCAGCTTTTTTCTGAGTAGTTTATTAGATAATAGTCATACAGACTTTCCTGCCTGGGCTGGCTTCAAACTGGGATCTTCAGATCTCAGCCTCCTGAATAGCTAAAGATTACCGGTATGAACCACCAGTGCCTGGCTACATTTTCCCCCCATATTGTATGTCAGATAGGCAATGATTTCAAATTTTATTTTAAATAAATATTTCAGGCACACATTTCAGTTTTAGAAGCCTCACACATTTGTAATATTTATCATTAAATAGCACTAATGTATACTTCTTTAAATCCTCTTTAATCATACCAATTTTAAAAAATGTTCCTAACTCTCATTATTTATTAGTTATACTACTCATGTCAGTTTGTTTTGTTTTGTATTTTGGCCATACTATATTTGAACTCCATATTTTACTCTTGCTAAACAGATCCTCTCCTGCTTGAGCCACACCTCCAGCCTTTTTTTGTTCTGGTTATATTTTTATATTTTAGTTTCCCTCTTTCCTCAGTCTGGTGTGTACCACTATCCATCTGTTTATGCATTCCAATGGTAGCTGAGTATGCACCACCACACTTACCTTTCTCTGTTAAGATGGAACAGTTTTGTGAGTTTTTCTCCCCTGATGGCTCAAAACATAATCCTACTTCTAAGTAGCTAGAATTATAGGTGTGAGCCACTGGTATTGGTCTTCAGTTGATAAATCTTAATGAAATCAAGTACAGGCATTCTATTACAAAAATTCTACTTATTTTTTGAAATAATAGCTGACTTGCTATTAATTCCAGAAAACGTGCCAAGGCAAATCTATTTAGCATCAATATCAAGAACTTCCATTTGGGGCTGGGGAGGTGGCTCAGTGGTAGAGCGCTTGCCTTGCATGCCTGAGGCCCTGAGTTCGATTCCTCAGCACCACATAAGCAAAAAGAAAAAAAGCCAGAAGTGGCGCTGTGGCTCAAGTGGTAGAGCGCTAGCCTTGAACTGAAGAGCTGAGGACAGCACCCAGACCCAGAGTTCAGGCCCCACGACCGGACCCAAAAAAAACAAACAAAAAAAAAAGCAAAAAAACCCCAGAACTTCCATTCAAAAAACTTTATCCCATTATGTTATTAAAGATTAAAATAAAAAGATATAAAAATATTGCTCAGATATCCTTTCATACTGAAATGCTTTTTTATTGGCCTTCGGTAGGCTCTGGGTAAGATCCATGTTCATGTTGCCCAAGTCTACTTAAAACTACTATTCTTGGCCTTGATACATTTATGATATCTGATGACATCCCAGATGAAAAAGAGAAAATGTTATGGGAGACAATGGTCTTTTTTGTTTTTCTGAAGAGTCCCATGAAGTTAGTCACAGGAGGTATTAAAGTCAAAGAGTCTTTTGGTTGAATTTTAGGTTTTGCTTTCCTTCGATGTTCTTTTCCTAAAAATTAGAAGGCCACAGTTAAATGTCTCTTAGGTGTTAAGATTATAGGTATAGTCTTATTACACCCTATTTTGTTTACATAACTAAAATATACTTTAAAAATCAGATTTATAACTTACAGATGTTAAACGCCAAAAAATTGTGAGGCCCAGGATATGGTTTTCCAATTCTTTATACATGATTTTGTAAAAAATAAATAAATAAATGGTATTTTAACGCCAAAGAGAAGTTTTAACGCATTTTTATGCTTTTTTCCAGCCAAGTATAGCAATAAGTTGTTAAACAACATGAAAGTATGGTTTAAATGTGACTTGCTCTTGTTTCACCAAGGATACCCCATCTATAAATTCCTAAAACTAAGACCATATGTTTTCCATTGATACATTATACAATTTTGTGTGATAATCATATTTTCCTGTTGTCAAATTTGAAATGGCATAACATTAATTTTATCATAAAAGTGCCTATATTGTCCTTATTTTTTCTTATACTATCACAAGCCTATAAAAGCTCCATCGATATCTTAAAATTTTGGGCCTGATAAAATATAAGCCACTCAATCTATGTCAGTAATGATACAGATTATTGTTCTATACTGTTTAGAATACTGTACCAACACTGTTTAGAAATCAGTATTAAGTGAAAAAAGGACAGATGTGTGTGTGTAACTCATACTAAAGAGCTAAAGATAAATGCAGTCTTCTACTCATATTCAGAAATATACCCTATATACCCATTCTTAACATCCTTTTTCTTATCTCTAAAATAATGTATTAAATAGGTTTAGAAAAGAGAGTAAATAAAGTTCCTTCTCTCATTTTACTGTCTCTATTCTCTCCCTTGCTGTTTCTGAGTCCAATACTCATCTTGATTTCAGTGAATGTTCTGAATAGTTCTGTGCTTGATTTCAACTATAGGACAACATAGTCAAACTGGTTTTGTCCTACTCTAAGCTTAATAGATGAGCAAGCATATACATGAAGTTAATAAGTAAATTAAGTTCTTTATTCAATGTCTAGTAATAGGAATGAGTAACATAAGATCAAGATTTAAAAATTTCCTTATAAGATCAACTTTGCATCTACCAACTACGTATGAAATTGTATAAATTATGAATGTGTTCTGTGCTCTAAAATGTATAGCTAAATAAGTCCTAGTTACATGTTTAACAACTTTCTTCATGCTCAGCTGCAGAAAAGCAAAAGACAGACATTTCTAACAAGAGATAATATTTTGGTATAATTTGTGGAGGGGAAGGGAATAAACAAATCGTTTAAATAGGGATACAGGCGGACCCATTGCAACAATGACATGTACAAATCATTATGTGGAAAAACGAACTTCCCAGTAAGGGATAGGAAGGGGAAACAAAGAAGGAGACAACAACGCTTGATATGAAATGTACTCATTATCTCGCCCATGTAATTGTAACCCCTCTGTACGGTATTTTCACAATTAAAAAAAAAAGAGATTCATATTATGGTTAGTAAGAAATGAGGCTTGTAAATGGAGAAGTGTTTTAGGTACATTAAATATACAGAGACACTGTTTTATAGTTGCCTCCACATTTCAGATTTTGAGATTGGAACACAGAATTATAAAATGTTAGTATTAGAAGATACCTCAAATTTTAAAAAAAAGTTACCTTTTTTAAAGACAGGAATTATTGATGGTCCTCCATTCTTCTCCAGACTAAAAAAGGAAAAGATTTTAAATCAAATGATAAAATTATTGAAGACAAAGTGTTCCCAGAGAAACATATGAAGACCTATTTATTTCAGGTACTTAATTAGGCATCCATCTAGGGCCTAATGGCCCTTTTCAGACATATGTGAAACTACACATATTATAGGTACGCGAACTACAGGTATTTTATATTCAGTCACTTATTTACTCAATCCAAGCAGCTGAAACATTAAATCTGCTCAAAGTGATTACAAGAAGAGACACAAGTTGTTTTGAAGAAAACAGATTTAAGAAATTAGCATGTTTTCCAATTCCCACAGTTTCTATTAGGACTTCAAATGACTATGTAAAATACTACTTAACATCATAAATTAATTTTTGAGCCAATTAAAGTTATTTAACATCAATTATAGGAATTTAAATTTTAGATTCCATGGCTTATAAAAGATGAGGCTGTTTCTGGGAATTAAAGTGACTTTAAAGATGTTTTCATCTTTATACTTAAATTTGATAAATGTTGTTGTAAGAGAACTCAAGTCATGAGAAACAGAGAAGCCAGCACTTAAGAGGCAGAATTGGGAGTCTTTATTGGAGAGTTGTGGACTGCTGGTAGACATCTCAAAGACCAGCAGCCAGGAATGCAGCTAGCACAAAGCTTCTAAGCTTCTATAAGCTAAAACCACATAAGGTGTGAGGAATTTATCCTAACACAAGTGTTGTAACATAAGCAAAGAAAACCAAATGAGGACACTTTAATAAAGGTGTTAAATATAAGCAAAGCAAACTTTCTATGGAAACAATCAGAGGAAATCAAGGGCCAATTATTTTAGGGAAGTTAAGACTTTCCAGGGGCTTAACAATATAGGATTGAAGGAAGCAAATAATCCACAGGTCACCATGACATTGCCCAATAACTTTGGTGTTGGAGAGGAGGCTGGTAGACAATCTATGGACTTTAGTACTTACCATCACTAAGACAGTTCTGCCTTTTGGATCTGGAGAGACTCCATCCTTTTTGGAAGCTTGGATTACCAGCCAGTTATCTTTCCACAAAGGATCTGTACTCTCATAGGGTGGTGGGACTCCTGCCTGTCCCAGGGAAGCTTGCAATGGAGCTCACTGCACTGAGACTGATGGAAAACATGCTGCAAGTGGGTAAATGTCACCCTAAGTCTAGGTGAAGAGCAAACATGCCTAGTGCTCTAGGAAGAAGAGATGTTTCCACTGCTGGCCCGTCATATCATGGAGAAGATGGAGGAGTTCATGTGTAAGATTTAGGAAAGATGAGGAATGACATCCATATGATGTACTCCCTGACTGGCTGGAAGGTGGTTCACCCATGTCCTCCTTTTAGGCTTGCTTCAAGAACATTTTCCACATCCACCCAACACTAGCACCATCAGGACTCATGAAACTTGGTTTTGTACTCTTCATTTCTTTGGGAATGTTGGGTTGTGCTTAAACCATAGGTCCTCTCCAGAAGGTGGTTTGGAGAATGCTTTTGGGGAGTCTATGCTCAACCTTATTCTTTGATACCATCTAATTCGTAAAGAATGTCTCTTAAGACTTTTCCCAAAATGGACTCCAGGGATTGCTTTTCTGGTTATGGGGAGCTTTGTCTCTCGATTCTATTGTTCCTTCTACTGCTCCTTACAGGTTTGGCTAATCTACTTCATCTCCCTCTTCATCTATGTTCTGGACATTTTGCCAGCATTGTGGCACACACAACAGGCCTACTAAACTCGGGGTACTTAATTTGAGTGGTAGTATGCCCATCCTATAATGGATGGGCACAACCCCAGTGAGGGCCACCCCAGTGGGCCAGTTGGGCTGGTACTTCCTCACAGTTATCATGCACATGACCATAGCTGGCCTTGAAACTCCTTGAATTCCTCAGTGTTTTCCCAGATAATTTGACATATGGTTCCAGTCTCATTAGATGTTCTATGTCCTGATGATAACAGTAGTTTTTGTCCACTCTTAAGGGTTTCCAAACTTCAGGGATTGTGTTATGGTCTCAGATGTGGCTGTACAGATGGCTTCCTTCTCTTGCCTTCTCAATCAGGAAGAGGAGGGCCTTTTAAAAAATTAACTACTGAAGTATGAGGAAGAGCCTGAGTTCTCTGTCTCCAGAAGAAACACCTTAGGGAATTCAGCTCACTGTCATTCCCACTGGCAATACACATTACATTCTGATTGTCCTGGTGAAGAGTGGGGCAGTGGGGCTGGGAAGGTGGCTCAGTGGTAGAGTGCTTGTCTTGCATGCATGAGGCCCTGGGTTCGATTCCTCAGCACCACATAAGCAAAAAAAGAAAAAAGCCGGAAGTGGCACTGTGGCTCAACTGGTAGAGTGCTAGCCTTGAGCTGAAGAGCTGAGAGACAGCACCCAGGCCCAGAGTTCAGGCCCCACGACCAGACCCCCCCAAAAAAGAGTGGGGCAGTCATCCTTCTCAGTGTTTACTTCCTCCCCGGGAGGTCTTCTATCACAGAGTTAGGACTTTGAAGCTTATGTTGAGATTTTACTCCTCCAGTCAATTTGAGGGAGAAAAAAACATGAACCAGAACTCTAGAAATGGAAAGATTTTTCAGACAAAGTAGTCCTTCCTTAACCTTATCCTTACTTTGTAACCTGATTCATAATAAGCAGTATGTGTGTGTGTGTGTGTAGTATAAAATAGTCCCTTTTACATCTGCTTTGTAGATGTTTTTACACAGCAGAAAGAATTAAACCCACAAACTTTTATAGCCTGACTAATCGTGGCTTCAGATAACTTGAGCTTTTTTCCTTGTTAGAGGAATGTAAAATTAAAATGGGAAGAAACACTTAATAGTCAATATTAAGCTTTGAAATAAACCTGCTGTGTACCTTGAAGCAAAGACTGTTGGTAATAAAAGGACAGTAAGTAGTTGGCATTAGAAAACAACTACATATGTACATACATACATACATAAATGCATTCATGCATAAATAAGAATAAATAGACCATAATAATGGACATTTAAAGTGAAGTTTACCCTTTTTTACACAGCAGGTATAGTCATATCAAGGATACTACTCCATGGTTGATCTTCCTTAAACTTACATAAAATCTTTAATAATAATTTCCTTACTGCAATTCCAATGAAGACACAATACCTTAAAGAAGGAAGTCCCACCATTTCTTGCATTTGAAATTCCTTTAAAAATGCTGGGTTAATCTTAGCATCTCTGCTGATATTATTTGTTAGACGAAGGAACTGATTAGGTTTATTCCTACATTCTTTTAACAGGATACGGAAAGCATTTGCATTGTAAGTTAAGTAGCCAAGTGCACAGGAACAAGCTGTACGAACCTAAATAAAGGACAAACAATTCTTAATGGGCTTTCTTAAATTTTCTAATTCTAGGCTTTAAATGGCTACTTCATGGGAGTCTCTGTAGATAGTATGTAAACAAATGGCAATCTTCAGATGAAAGCAATTTTTAAAGAGGATGGTCAACTGTCATTGATTTCTAGTAGTTTTCACAATCCTTGTGTGTGTGTGTGTGTGTGTGTGCAATACAAGTGAGGGACTTTCAGTCCCCCTATCTCAGCACCCCTAATGCTGCTATTACAGTACTGAACTACTCTGCTTAGATGATTGCAAACTTGGCTGTACATTATTTGGAAAGCATTGACAATTATTATGATTGGGTTCTACCTCTAGAAAAACTCCCTTAGTTATTCTAGGGCATAACCTGGACTTGAGATTTTCTCAAAATTGCTCAGGTAATTGTCATAGGAAACCAGGAAGGAAACTGTAGGTGAAAAAGGAGGTCAACAATAGCTATAAATACAAAGTACTATGTTCCATGGATAAAGAACAAAGAATCACAAGGATGAGGCTACAGAGCTCTAGAAAAAATAGTTTTCTTTCTTTAGATGAAGTACACATTGCTTTGCTTATGACTCTACATACATTAGGTTGATAATATGTTTAAGGTATACTCTAGGAAGTTGGTAATTGGAAGATTAAAATTTTTCATAAAATGATCATGAATCAGGATTATCAGGATACCAAAGGGTTGATAATGGCATCCCAATGCTCTCTATGTCCCTACGTCTTCTACACCTTAAACTTTTGATTCTTTTCAATGTGTAGCTTCTACATCCTTAGCTTCTGCTGCTAAGAACTTAGATACAGAGTTTGGGGCCCTCTTTAGATGTACTGAATCAAGAATTCTGGAAATGGGGCCCAACAATCTATGGCCCTTCAGATGATTCCAATACACCCTACAGTTAAAAACATACTGCTTTAGACCTTAAGAGAATAAAGGAAACACTTGCAAGCTAACCACTGCAGAGGTCAGCATGGCCTCTTTCATATATATCCTACATCCTCCAACTTTGCTTGGAAGATTAAAAAGAAAACAACAACAACAACTGCCCTTTGGTGTTCCTCTTTCATTCATTCATTTCAAATTATACAAATGTCTTAGAGCACAAAGTAACCAGAATTATTTTGTCGTTATTGTTTGCTTTGTGGTACTGGAGAGCAAATTCAGTGACATGGTGCTTAAAGAGAATGATGGCTTGGATGTTAATATCACATCCTTGCATGCTGACACTTAATAAAAGGAGTCATGATGTAGAGCAAGATCTTGTTGATAGTTCCCAAAGCCTGTAGAAAAGGAAAATCCCAAGAAACTGGGTCCCTTTCTGATGTTCCAAGTCTAATAACATGGAGGGCTCATGTTATGTATATGCTTTATTAATGAGCTGTATATCCCAGCCTTTAGTTATTTGTTTGATATATGATCTCACTAACTTGCCCAAGCTGCTGTCATGCTTTCAATCCTTCTACCTCGACTCCCAGAGTGACTGGAATTATAGATTGCCACTATACCCACCTCAATAATCAGTTTTATAAAATATTTTATACTTTAATTACAAATTTCTATATCATCAATGTATGTATTTGAATACTGACTTAGATCATGCATTAAGAAGACCATTAGTTCATAGTTTTTGGTTTTTTAATTCAATGACTAATTTGGACAAATATTTCTTTTAAAATCTTTAAGTATAGTTGTTTTGTACTGCTTTTATAAATCAAATCCAAGAAAAATCTCAGAGTTAAGGCATATGTGTACTTTTTGTGGGAATCAGAATTGTGGGTGTCATATGTGGTTAATAATAGAAACTTTATTGAGAAATAAATTTTAAAAATTGTCTAAGTTTTGAGTTAGCATCATGATCTGTGTTATGTAATAATCAACTGAAGGAGAAATTATTCCATACTACCAAAGGTAGATACTGAATTTTATAATTAGTTTTGTGTTTACCTCTTCTCTTCCAGAGTACAAGTGGTAGCAGAGTCGTTGGACCGTTCCCATTGTGGTAAATGCTTCTGGAATACCAGCTCTAGAATGAGCCAGGCTAGCTATTAAGTTACCTATAAATTAAAAAATGAGGGAGAGTGGTCATATCAAATAAGAAACTGATACTTTGTGCTCTTGTTCACTTGTACATAGCATTAAAAAGAGTTACAAGAAGACACAGTAAGAGAGAACATGTATATGTAAATTTAGAGTGAACATTCCCTAAAACTATGGTTTGCTTTTCCATTTCATATAGTAAAGGTTAAGCAAGTTTATGTGACAGTTTCACTTTTTTTTAAATCAGATAATGTACTTTTTCTTGTGGCTTCAAAATATCTTTTGTTTTAAGGTTTTTAAGGGTTCTTAAAGTGAGAATGAATGTAACTGTTGAGTTATAATTAAGAAAATACAATATGTCCTTTCTGAAGTTCTAATGACTTTATGAGATTAAAATCAATATATCGCTGATTGAAGTTTAAAAATCATTGAACTTTTTGTCATAGAGGGGAAAATGTTATGGGACTGTAATTAAAATAATTAATTTGCAGGTACCAACTTAATTTGGTTTCATTTGTTTTTAAAATATTAATGTAGTTCTATGTGGATACTTTGTTCAGAGATTAAGTTTGTTCAGAGATTAACTAACTGAGAATAGAAAGCACTATTCTAAAGGAAAAGTTGTCTAAAGGCAACCACTCAAAAAAGGTAAAAAAAAAAAAAAAAAAATTACTTTAAAAGATGGAAAGTAAGAAATGGGAAACTGAGGGGGTATAGAACCTAAAACTAAGAAGAACTTGGTTTATTATTCCAAAAGAATAGGAGTAAAACTTTTAATAGAAAATAAATAAGCGTTACACATAGGAAAACAGACCACTTGGCAACAGGAACTCCAATCTCTGAACCTGTTTTAGGTAAGGCTCGCTTCATGGTAACTTGGATCACTGAGGCCTGGCCTGAGAGCCCAAATGTGCAGGTGCCTCTGGATTCATATGACTCTAAGTGCAGAGAAGGTCCAGTACTTTTTTAGATTGAATTTTCCTCTCCAGATTGAGAGAATTTGAAAGCAAGTATAACATGTTATTTCTTTTTAGTTGTTTTGTTTTTTGGTATGGCCTCATGATGTAGCTCAGGATGGCCTCACACTCTATTTTCCTGCATTAACCACATGAGTGCTGGGATTATAGGTATAGCTCACATACCTGAACTTTTTTTTTTTTTGGTTGTGGGGCTTGAACTCAGGGCCTAGGCACTTCCCTGAGCCTATTTGTGCCCAAGGCTAGTACTCTACAACTTGCACCACCGTGCCACTTCCTGTTTTTAAGTGGTTAATTAGAGATAAGAGTCTGATGGGGACTTTTCTGCCTGGGTTGGCTTTGAGTCGTGATCCCTCAGATCTCAGCCTCTTGAGCAGCTAGGATTACAGTGTGAGCCACCAGCACCTGGCCTCGCATGCCATATCATTTCTTAGACAAAAGAATTTGTGGAGCAAAATTTAGGTACACAACAATCATTTTATCAGAGTCAGAGAATTACTGTGACTTTGAATCAATATTATTCTTTTTAGGTCATGGGCAATAATGTTATTTTGATGAAAATGTTTAATAATTTCTTTTAAATATGTTTTTCTTAACTAGTTTGCTTCAGGAAAGTTTTTCTTTTGCTTGACTTTTCCTCTTTTCCATGCAAATTTACTCCATAAAAAATGTAATTCTATAGTGCAGTAAGTAGTTTCCTTTGCTGCCTCAGTGATCCAATTCAGTTAAAATACAAATATTCTTTATTATAGTAATCAAAAACAAATATAAGCTGAGCACCATGGCTGACACCTGTAATTCTAGCTATTCAGGATGCTGAGATCTGAGGATCATGGTTCAAAACCAGCCGGGAAGGAACATCCCTGAGATTCTTATCTCCAATTAACCACCAGAAAACCAGAAATTGTGCTGTGGCTCCCTCTCCTCTCTCTCTCTCTCTCTCTCTCTCTCTCTCTCTCTCTCTCTCTCTCTCTCTCTCATACACACACACACACACACACACATAATAGTGGCACTACTGACTGTCATTATTGTGTTGCTTTTAGTGTTATATCAAATCAGTTATATAATTTGTGTGAGCAGAAAAGTTAGGTGTAAAGTAAATGTAGTGACATATTAGCACTGTTGGACCATTTTTCTGCTGTGTGACATAGCAATATAAAGATTTTTTTTTTCTGGAAGTACTGGATTGAACTCAGGACTTTGTGCTTGCCAGACAAACATTCTACTACTTGAGCCTTTAAATGGTAGCAAAATATACACCAAAAGGAAATCAGACCAGAGGTATGTCATTGTAATCTGTCACTATTATTTGTTCATGGTAGTATACAGTTTAATGCTCATTTTATATTCTAGAAAAACAAGTGATTGAAAGAGGAACTATGAAAACAAAAAGATGCTGAGTGCAGGCCCACTATTCTCTGTAGACTTACTCTGAAGTTTAATGTAGATTAACTTGAATTCAAGATGTGTAACAAGGTACTAGCCTTATTATTTCATTATTGCTCAGATTACAAACTAAAAACATTGAAAATAGTTTTATAAAATAATTAGCTTCATAATTTCTTACCTGTCAATATAATAGTTGAAGTATTACGTGAGAACAGACTATTAACTAAAATAGTCACACCTCTTGCACACAAAGCAATGTGATCCACATCTATAATAACCTTAGCTAATACAACAATCTAAAAATAAAAACAAAACATACAATCATTGAACATTTTCTTTTCAGCTTCTTATTTTTTATGATCAAGAGGGCACTTCTTAGGAAGATACAGGTATTGGGTAAAAAAAGAGAGAAGTGAGTGGTAGCATTGAGTTAAGAGTACTTATTCCTAACTGCTCATAGCAGTGACCATAATAGACCATATTATTCTTTACAAAATATTTGCACCTTTTGTAGTCTCGAAGTATAGGTTCCTGTAAAATACTTCTAAAGCTTTTAAGATTGACAAGTGAGAATACGACAAAGAAGAACCACACACATACACACACACACACACACATATACACACACACACACACACACACGACAAAGAAGAACCACACACACACACACACACACACACACACACACACACACACACACACACACACACACTGGTGGCACATGCTTGTAGTAATAGCTACTTAGGAGACTGAGTTACCCAGAAGATTGTTTTAAAGCCAATTGAGACAGAAAAGTCTGTGAGAATCCATCTCCAAAATAATCAACAAAAAAGTGGAGCTGGAGATGTAGCTCAAGCTACATTAGGCATATGGCCTGTAGTTTAAACCTGACTACTGCCAGAGAAGGAAGGAAGGAAGGAAGGGAGGGAAAGAGGGAGGGAGGGAGGGGGGAGGGAGGGAGGGAACCCTGGCTTAGACACTAATGTAGGTTATCTCTTTATCTAGACCCTTATAATATGGAGTGATGAAAAATAAAACTACCTGCCTATTAATCTCCCCAGTTAGTTATACATATCAGATGAATTGCAAAGGTAAACTGATAAAATTCCAGTAAATAAGAAATCCTCATGGATTTTTTTATGAGGTAAAGGGCTGATGTTCAAAGCACTAAATTTTGTAAATACACACTTTTCTATACCTCTCAATTTAAACTTTCTCATTAAGAAGTAACACTGTGGCTCAAGTGGTAAAGCACTAGCCTTGAGCTGAAGAGCTGAGGAACAGTGCCCAGGCCCAGAATTCAAGCCCCACGACCGACCAAAAAAAATTTTTTTCACAAAAGAGACATTTATCAACTTGAAATGACAACCTTTAATATTATACCTGAAATGCTGCCATTGCCTTCTCAGTTTCAACTTTTGATTGAAGAAAAGGTTCAAAAATAGATATGGTCATCATTCCACTTTCCAAAATTAAGTATTGTTGGAAGCGATTATTGAAAGCAAAAAGGGTCAATGCATAGCCTGCTCTTAAGCAAATATCCTAAAATAGAAGAAATATCTTTAACTTAATTCATTTATCATGATACTGAACATGACACATTTTTGAATGTTTACCTATTTAAATATATTACATCCCTAACACCAGGAATAAATATGGCATTATTGGAGAAACAGTTATTTTGTCTACAAACAGAAATGTTATTGAGCATGTGAAAATAGAGAACTGACTATGTGGTAGAAAGGAAAAAAGAGAACATTTTTTGAATTTTTCAAAGAAAATGTTAGATTACTTATAATTCAAATGAATACCTGAATAGTAAGAGGAAGCAATACTTTTATTTACCTTCAGTTTTTTTTTATTTCAACAAATTTAGTTTCATTTCAAGATTGCAAAGTGCAATTGATGAATTAAAACTTCACTGGTAGCTGTGTGTGGTGGTACATGCTATAATCCCACCACTCAGGATGCTGGGCAGGAGACTCAAAAGTTTCAGGCCATCTTGGACTACATAGGTAGAGACCCCATCTCACCAGGCATTGGTGCCTCACACTTGTAATCCTAGCTATGAGGAGGCTTAGATCTGAGGATGATGGTTCAAAGCCAGCCCAGGCAGGAAATTCCATGAGACTCTTATATCCAATAAACCACCAGAAAACCAGAAGTGGCACTGTGGCTCAAGCAGTAGAGAGCTTATCTTGAGCTGAAGAGCCCAGGGACAACGCCCAAGCCCAGAGTTCAAGCCCCACAACCGACCAAGAAAAAAAGGAAAAAAAAAAGAGACCCCATCTCAAAATAAACTATAACAAAAAACTTTATTTTATACTATACCATACATTGCATTTTATGCATTGTAGAATTATCTCCACTTTAACATTTTTTAGACTTAGCAAACAGCAAAAGCCAACTAAGTTGTACAAGTATAATAGAACTTCTAGAAACATAAAAATAAAATTTGTATACTAAATTGTATTTTTCATATTAAAACAAAAATAATTTTAATTTCAACACTGTAGCATATAACACAGATAACTCATTAATTAATCAACCCAATCAGTAAATTTTATTCTATTACTAAGCATACTAAAATGCTGTTATGTATACACTGAAACATTTATAAATCAAATGGTATGATGCCTGGGGATTTTTTAAAATGTAATATAGGGAAAAAATGGGTCAATCATTGCTGAAACTTGGCTAAGTAATATTTAAGTTCACTAATCTATGTATTAGATATATTTATCCATATATAAATTTTATAATAAAATTATAAATTTATAAAATTATAAACATTATACACAGTAATCACTTGGCTCTAGGCAAGAGAAATGGTATCAGTGTAGTTAAAGTATTAAGGAACTAGACCTCAGTCATAGAGAAAGAATGGATTAGCTGATAGCTAGATAGAACCTTGAACCTAGTAGGAAAAATGGTAATGGAAAAATGTGCCAAAGGAACAAGCCTTATGAATCTAACTTGGGTAGGAGGGCATGAGAGAAGTACGTTTGGACTCAACCCATTCTCATTACTTTTCCCTGTAGGTTTTACTCCTGCATTATCACTGCAAGTCTACATTAAGTCTTTATTCTAGTATACAACATTAAAAAAAGAATAAAGAATAACTTATTTTATTTCCATGTAGGTAACATCAATATAGCTAAGAGTTTTTTTTCCAGAATCTAGGTTAACTGACAACTTTTATTGTACTTTTGTCATCATCAATAAGATACCTATTTATTCATTTACATATTTGGTTCCTAAATATAACTTCCTCTTCTAATTCTTACAAATATCCCATTATAGATTTAATTAAGAGCCACAATGGTTCACATAATCTTAATGTACCCTTGTGTTAGTTTTCCATCACCATGAACAAATACCTGAGATAAAGTTTTATTTTGGCTCATGGTCTCAGAGGTTTCTATTCCACAGTCAATATCTTCAGGGACTGAGATGAAGCAGTTCTGCCTAGTGGCAGAACACTGTCACTCACCAAGTGGTGGCTAGGATATAGGCAGAGGAATGCCCTTTATAGTACAATGACTTACTGCCTCCAACTTTAGGCCTAACCTCCTAAAGGTTCTACCACCTCCCAATAGCACTATTAGCTAGAAGCAAGCATTCAACACATGAGCTTTCAAGGAACATTCTAGATCCAGACCTAACTGCCCCTATGAGGTAAGTAGTTCTTTCATATTTAAAATGTACTTAAAGTATGTGGGGTAAAATAAAACATATAATGTACTGGAAAAAGTTGTGAACTTCCACATTGCTTCCAAGATATTCTTGCCAAAAATATAACTTAAACATGAAAAAACATCAGATCAAGTCAAATTGAGAGATAATCTATAAAATAACTGACCTGGACTCATCAAACATGTCAAGATCATAAAAGACATAATGAACTAGATACTAAAAAGATGTGATAACTCAATGTGAGATTCTGGATTGGATTCTGGTATAGAAAATGGGCATGAGGGAGAAAATGGAAAAATGCAATAAGATTTATAAAATGTATCAGTATATTTTGGTCTGTCATGGAGTTTGAACTAAGGGTTTGGATACTGTCCCTGAACTTTTGTGCTCAAGGGCTAGTGCTCTACCTCTCGGAGCCACAGCACCACTTGTTGTTTTCTAGAAGTTAATTGGAAATAAGAGTCTCATGGACTTTCCTTCCCAGGCTGACTTTGAACCATGATCCTCAGATCTCAGCCTCCTGAGTAGCTAGGATTACAGGTGTGAGCCACTGTCACCTGGTTTAAAATTTATCAGTATTATTGCTACAAGACCAGTGTTAATTTTTCAGTTGAGCTAAATGGAGGATTTACCAGAATATTCTCAAAGACTTTTACAAATAGTCTAAAATTATTTCAATTAAAAAAATCATAACCCACACAGATTCTAGGGTAGGAAAAAGGTTATTTCTTTATCACAAATATTTGGAGTGTTGATAGGAAGTGATGACTGAGGATTGAAAGGACATAAATTTACCTTAACATTATAAACCTATATCTAATATCTTTCACCTCTGTAATTTCCAACCAAGGTTTCTAACCAAGAAAGTGAAAGATCTTTACAATGAGAATTATGAAACATCAAAGAAAAAAGTTAAAGCACTAGAAATACTATAATACCCAACTTTAAGTTTTACTATAGATCCATAGTAACAAAAACATCCTAGCACTGGTACAGAAACAGTCACAAAGACTAGTGGCTCCCACCTACAATCATAACTATGAACTACAAAGGAGGCTAAGATCCAGAGGATTACAGTTTAAAGCCATCCTAGGCAGAAAAGGCCTTAAGACTCCATCTCAATTTCTATCATTGCTGAGTTCTCACTGTAGTCTTAGCTACTTGGGAAGTTGAGCTCTGAGAATTGTGGTTCAAAGGCATCCCAAGCAAGAAAGTCTGTGAGACACTTATCTCCAATTAACCAGAAAAAAGTCAGAAATGAAGCTGCGTCTCAAATGCTAAAGCACTAGCCTTGAGCAAAAAAAGCTCAAGGACAGTGCTCAGGCTCTGAGTTCAAACCCCAGGATAAGAAAAACAAAAATATTTACCAGCAAAAGACAGGGCCCAAGTAACAGACCACAAGCTGAGCAAATAAAAAACCAGTGACAGCCCTGGTACTGAAAAACAAAACAGAAACAAACAAACCCACATCACTGTACTTTACAGACACTTTATTTTCAACAAAGGTATAAAAAATCAACTTTAGAGAAAAGAGCTTTTGAAGTAAAGCTGTATATCCATGGATAGAAAATTCAAGTCTGATCCATATCTCTTACTCTATATGAAAACTAATGCAAAATGGCTTCACTGTAAGGCCTGCAACAGGACTCCTGTGGAAGACACGGAGATATAGGTATAGGTAATGGCTAACAGGGCTCTAACAACTCAGAAAATAAGAGCAAGAATTGAACAATGGAATTGAAACAAAGTAAAAAGCTTCTGTACAGCAAGAGAAGCAATATCCATTAGCCTTTCAGAAGGAAAAAAAAAAACAACCAATTAACAGGTACCTACAATGGGAGAAAAAATTTTGCCAACTATTCCTGTCAGGGATTTAATACTCAAGGTATATAAAGAGCTCAAAACAAAGCCGGGCGCTGGTGGCTCAGGCCTGTAATCCTAGCTACTCAGGAGGCTGAGATCTGAGGATCGCGGTTCAAAGCCAGCCCGGGCAGGAAAGTCCGTGAGACTCTTATCTCCAATAAACCACTAGAAAACCGGAAGTGGAGCTGTGGCTCAAGTGGTAGAGCGCTTGCCTTGAGCTGAAGAGCACGGGGATAGCGCCCAAGCCCAGAGTTCAAGCCCCACGACCAACCAAAAAAAAAAAAAAAAAAGAGCTCAAAACAATGAAACACCAAAAGAATGAGTTATTTAATCAACAAATGGGCAAATTACTAGAACAGATACTTATCAAGAAGTATGGCCAATAAATACATGAAAAAAATGTTCAATATACTTAGCTACTGGGAAAGTGCAAATAAAAAAACCTCTACAGAGGGGCTGGGAAGGTGGCTCAGTGGTAGAGCGCTTGCCTTGCAATGCATGAGGCCCTGGGTTCGATTCCCCAGCACCACATAAGCAAAAAGAAAAAAACCGGAAGTGGCGCTGTTGCTCAAGTGGTAGAGCGCTAGCCTTGAGCTGAAGAGCTGAGGGACAGCACCCAGGCCCAGAGTTCAGGCCCCACAACTGGACCCCAAAAAAAAAATCTCTACAGAGATTCTATCTTACCCCAAACAGAATGATTATCATCAAGAAAAGAAACACCACCAAATATCCAAATATTAATGTCAATGCTCTGTTGGTAGAAATGTAAATTAATGTATCCACTATAAAAACAGTATGCATATTATTCAAAATACTATATATAGAACTACAATATGATCGAGCTACACCTTTTCTGAATATATACCTACAGGAATGTAATTATCATGTAATAGAGATACTTGGAAACTGATATTTATTGCAGCACTATCTACAATAGTCTAACTATAGAATCTGCCTATGTGTCCATCAACCAACACATAGGCAATAAAAATATGGCACACATACTCCATGTAATATTATTCACCTATAAAGAAGAATTAAACCATGTTATTTTACAGGAAAAGAACTGGAGATTATCACATTAAATGAAATAAGTAGACTTAGAAAGAATATCACATTTCCTCTTCTATATGGAATCTTAATTTTAAAAAGGGGACTATTTGGGAGCAGGAAGGGAACCACCAGGAGGGGTTATTGGGAGGTATACAATATTCAAGTATGAAAATGCCATAATGAAACCACTATTTTGTATAATATAAACTAATAATAAAAAGTTAAGTAAAAATAAAAATAAGCTTAACAGTGGTTAAACTTGAAAGCAAAATTTTAGTTTGCAAAAATAATTCATTCTTAAATATAACCACCTTCTTTGATCAGTAATGGGGCTTTAACTCAAGGACTGGGTACTGTCTCTGAGATTTTTCACTCAAGGATAGTAGTACTCTACCACTTTGAGCCATAACAGCACTTCCAGTTTTCTGGTCATTAACAGGAGATAAGTGTCTCAAGGACTATCTTGCCTGGGCTGGCTTTGAACTGCAATCTACAGATGTCAGCCTCCTGAGTAGCTAGGAATACAGTCATGAGCTATGGGTGTCTGGCCCATGGCAATCTCTTTTATTGCCCTTTCCAGTAGTAGAAACTTTCAATGATAATATAGTAATATATATTTATATGTACATATATATAGTAACAAAAAAATCTTTTTACAACACTGATATTTTACATTTCTTAAATAATGTATTGGACCATGTAATGAAGAACTTGATCATTTGACTGGATTCTCTAAAAACCATTTTCTTCTAAAGGAATGCTAATGTTTTGTAAAGGTATTACCTTATCTGATGAGTGAAGAAGATCAAGGACATCAGAATACTTAAATCCTTCAGATTGTTGTAATTCATTCTGCAAGGAAGCATTTCCTAGGACAATGCATGCCAAGGAGAATGCCACTTCAACCTAAATAGTTTTTAGAAATTATTTTTCACTTATTGTTTTCAAATGACATATTCCATTATATAGAAATGTACAGTGATATATTGTGGAAAGATGTTAGTTAACATATAACTTGATTCCAGTCGTCTGACCAGTGTTTAAAGAGTTAAAGAGTAACACCACTTCTGGAGGTACATCATTCATCTTTTTTTTTTTTGGTCCTGGTGTTTGAACTTAGGGCCTGCGTACTGTATATGAGCTCTTCTGCTTAGGGCTAGTGTTCCACCACTTTGAGCCACAGCAACACTTCAGGGTTTTGGGTGGTTAGAGTGTCTCATGGATTTTGCTACCTGGACTGGTTTTGAACCATGATCCTCAGATCTCAGCCTCCTGTGTAGCTAGGATTACAGGCGTGAGCCAACACCCTGCTTCATTCATCATTTTTAAGAACTGGGAAGGAGTCTTCTTCTGTGTGTGCAGGGACAGACATGGTGGTCCATTTCTGAGAACACCCAGAAGAATGAGCAGGACATTATAAGGAGATACCTTCCTAATCCTAAGTGTAATAGCTGCATCTCTTTATAGCTAAATTTTATAACATTGATTTAAAACATTGGTTTAACATTGTTTGCGAACTACTGAGTTTCAAGGCTTTAATGAAATTCCTAATTTAAATAAAGCCTTTGAAGTAGAACTTCAAGTTTTGAAATAATTTCCTTTCTTAAGCCTATTAAGAAGATGAAACTTGCATATGATTGATACTAAATATATATTTTTTAAATGCTACACTATGAACTTATAGAAAAATACTATGAATTTGGAAAACATAATTATTGAAATGTTGTGAAATATTCTGTCCACTTTAGAATCTTATTGTGAGAGAAAATATTGAAAAATATTTATGTAGGGCTTTAGATGTAGCCCATAGTTAGCTGAGAGAGAGCAGACAGAAAAGAGACAGAGGAGGAAGAAGGAAGAAGGGAAGGAAGGAGGAGGAGGAGAGAGAGGGAAGAAAGAGGAAAGGAAGGAAGGAAGGAAGGAAAAATGGAAAAAAGAAAAAAGGATGTTTATATTCCATTTTTGATGTTTCAAAATCCACTGAAAATACATACTGAAGTACAGATGAATGTGATAGAAGTGTTTTGACAGCAAAGTACACATTTCACAATGCAATGTTTTTCTATATGGCATTTTCCCATTGTCATGCAATTTACTTATACTTGGAAAATATATATTTATTTATATTATTTATAATACAAATATTATATATTATAATTAATAACAAATTATTTATAATTATAAATAATATAAATATAATATATGTAATATAAATATAATGTATTTATATTATTTATAATTCAAACCAACCAAATGATTGCAGTACATGTTGTTCTTTTTGTTGTCCTGATGGAATCTGGTCTTTCATAGTCAGAAAAAAAACCACATAACTTATGACATTTTTTCTGACTTTTACAAAAAGGAAATTTGTTAAAAAGAAAAATTGCTGTTTTACTATCATGTTTTTCTGTAATTCTATTTCTCTATTTTCCTCTTAATTTCCCCTTTCATTTTGAGAAGAAAAATGTTTTTATTATAAAAATTCCTTCCCTCACTAACTATAGAGTTCCTGAATTTCTGAAGCCCAAGGAAAAGGATTTGAACTTATATGAAATGAAAATCATATGATTAAGGGCATTTTACTAGAAGTAAATGAAATATGAATAACTTTTCAACACTTGTAGTAATTCTTTGTAACATCCAACTCGGAAAAGGCTATGGCTGCCAGCCACCCCTTCTTCCACCTCTCTCAGGGTGCTTTGGTGTATAGCATTGAGAACATTCACTTATTTCTCTGGGTGTCATGCAAGTTCACATGCCCACTATCCCCACCCAATTTTAGTAATAAGTATCTCAGGAAATAAACAATCAAATATCTAAGGGAAATGTGTCTTTAAATAGTCAGGACATAACTCCCACTCCCTGTCTGGGGAGCAGGAATTATTTCTTTTTCTGTGTTTTGTCATGTTTTTACTAAAATGCCTACTTGCTAAAACTTCCACATTAAAAAAAAGGAGTAAGGACATAAGCCTTTATCATCATATTTGAATATTTTAGTAACATTCACAGCTAACTTTGTAGTTACTGTTTACAACTTTTAGGATTTGGTTTAAAAAGACTATGGTTGTGCACTTTCAGAAAGGTACAAATTTCTCTTAAAATTATATTTATGTTACTTTTACTATATGAGGAAAAATGTAAACCCTGATAAATACCTTAATATTAGGTGAAGGGTGTTTTCTTAGTAGTTGTATAAGTACTGGAAGGGCATTTTCCTCTACAATATATTGTTGGCTAACAGGATTGCTTGTATGGGCTACACCTGTAAAAGTCCATATACCAATGAGGTAATATGTTCCAAGCTTGTAAATGTAAAGTCAAATGCAGCTTGGTACTGTTTGACAGAGCATCCTAAGGTTAATATGGTTAGTACATTACAAAAGGAAATGCTATAATAACACTATCATATAGTCCTGTTAACTTTATAAAGTGTTAAATAAACATGAAAAATTTATTATAGAATTGTGGGTGGTCTTCTAATAAATACCCAGGAAATAAATTTAAAAATTGATATATTTATCAAAGAATAATAATAGCTAGCACTTACTGAAGAAATAATTGTGCAGTGGTGTTAAGTTTATCATTACTATTTTTCAATAAAATATTTTATTTCTACAAAATTGCTAAAGTAATTATAAAATCAAAATTTCTTGATTCTTTAAGTGACATGTGCTAAAAAGATAATCTTCAACTTATAACACACTCCTTTAAGTTGTAGGACTAATACCAATGGAAAATTCAAGTAATCTCTTTTGGAGATTAAAACAACATATTTACATACTTATGTGTAAATATAAGACTCAGCTTCTCTGAAGCCACCCACATATTACTATCTGGAGAAGTTTAAGCAGAAAAGAAGTAACAGATGCACTTAATTTTCCTTTTTTACTGCTAGACCTTTTTTTACTGAAAAGCTTTGAAGTAAACTAATGAAAAGAAAGTGTGTGGATATGGATGTATGTGTATTGGACAACTTTGTACAAGTGTTTTCATTTACTAAAATTTTAGAGAAAACTATATTTTATTCCATACCAGTAGCCAAAAAATGAAAATGTTTTCTGTGGGTGTTTTCCTTAAAATTGTTAATGAATTTCTACAAGTAGTATTCATAAGAGAAATAAATGGAAGCTAATTCCTGTTACTTTAGCCAGACTAAAGAAAATACATTGACCTAGAAAAAAGTCATCTTTTTCTGTCATCCTCAAGAAGCAGTCTACAGCCAGTCTCATGTTTTCACAAGGATTAGAAAGAAAACATTATTTGGCATGTCATTCATTAAAAATTCCACATCTTCAGGTATGCCAAAAAAGCCAATTCCTTTGCAACAAAGGCCACTTTATAAACAAGAAATTATTGTGTGAAGAGAATGGAATCAGAAAAAGTATGCTAGCATTAGAAATTCTTCAAAAATACACAGCCTCATTTTTCTTGTTTTTGTTTTTTTGCCAGTCATGGGGCCTGAACTCTGGGCCTGGGCGCTTCCCTCAGATCTTCAGCTCAAGGCTAGTGAGCCACAGAGCCACTTCTGGCCTTTTCTGCTTATGTGGTGCTGAGGAATCAAACCCAGGGCCTCATGCATTCAAGGTAAGCCCTCTATCACTGAGCCACCTTCCCAGCCCCAGCCTCAATATTTTTTTAAAAACATAATGTTTTCTCTTAAAAGATGAGTGAGGATGCTTATGTCATAATTTTCCATTCTCTCAAGAGTTCAAGAGCAAGACAAATTTGAAATTTGTAATTATACTAATTTTACTCACCAAGGTCTTTAGAGTTTGTTTATAAACTTCTGAAACATTAAATATGGTTTAGGGCTCTTAACAGTGGGAATGGAGAGGAAGAGATTGATTTCTGTTTATCTAATTCCTTTTTTTCTTACCTATATTTAAGAAATTGAGAATGTGTACAAACCAAGACAAATGGATCCGACTGCTCTGATGACACTGAGGAGTGTGCCTTCTGCTATCTTACTAATTCTTAGTAAGCGAACCAGAGGAGCAATTCCATTCCCTTCACAGATCTGATTTTGATGCAGCCTGCTGTCCTTACTTAGAGCTATGACTGCTTCACCTCCTGGTAAAGAAAGGTAAGAGACGGGTATGATATTCCAGTGTCTTTAACTTTGTGTAGATTAATGTATAGAAAATAACGTACCCACATACTGCATTTTAGCTGATGATGACAAAAGCATATTTATTATAAAGTTGTATCCAATCTGTTCTGCCATATACTTTTGTTGTTTCAGAGTTTGTCCTGCCAAGGCCCAAAGGGCTATGGCTCCTTGTTCTTTAACATCTATTTGAAATGCCTGTTTTAGAAAAGATTCCATTCATTAAATGAATATTTATTGAAGACTTGGGGGAAGGTGTTTGCAAAATATTTATTCATTAGTTTTGGTTCTCTATTCACTAAACAAAATCCAAAATAGAATTAAATCCTCTAAAAATAAAAAAACAGCCAGCAATGATAAAAAAAATTCCTACCTTTAGGAGTTTTAAAAGGTATTTAGTTAGGTTTCTTTCCAGAAATTCCTTCTGTATTAAATAATTGTGATTTGCCAGTGACTCCACAGCCATCGCACCTTTCACTTGAACACTTAGTTGCTTCCCTTTGAAAAGGGCAACGAGGGGAGGAATTGCTCCTTGAGTAGCTAAGGCATCCTGAACCTTCGCGTTGTTACGCCCAACCTCAGCAATTGTAGCAGAAGATACAGCCTTCAACACATCTTCAGATGAACCCAAGAACAAGTCAAATTAGTCTTTTAGGAAGTAAAAGCATCAGGTACGACCTATCATTAGTTTCCCACATTACAAAATCAAAAGTATATAAAACTTGTGGAAAACTCAGAAAGTCAAAATAGACATGAGAAACAAAACTATCCAAATTCACCACCTAAACCCAGTCGAACTTTAGGTTTATTCTCATTCATTATTTCATTTGTAGATAGATAGGTAGATTTAGATAATTATAGTCATTTAACATATTCCAAAAGCAATATTCTTCATTTTTACTTACCATTAAAATATCCCATTCCTTTATATCAATGTTTATAAAATATTCCATTCATGAGTTTATTCTTATTTTCCACTAACATCTTGAAAAAATCTGTTATTTCAAAATTTCCATTTCTTGATATAATTCCCAAAGAAATCTTCTTAGTACATAAGGTATTTCTTTATTTTGTATGGTCTCGGGAATTACAGGAATGTCTCAATATATCCATTAAATAAATTGCTTTTCAGAAACATTAATAGTGTTTCTATATGTAGAGTATCAATGTTTTGTGCCTTTTTTGTATGCATTATCATAAAAATATATAAGCAGGCACTTGACTGGTCATACTGCCCCACCTCAGTTTCCATTGGAAAGGTATTTTTGTAATCACTTCTGCTTCAATAAAATCTAGCTTTTGTTTAAATAAAAAATACTTATAGCATGCATGAGGGCTGGGTTTGATTCCTCAGCATCACAGAAGCAGAAAAAGCCAGAGTGGTGCTGTGGCTCAAGTGGTAGAGCGCTAGCCTTGAGCTGAAGAGTTGAGGGACAGCGCCCAGGTTTAGGCCCCACAACCAAAACCAAAACCAAAAACAAAACAAAAACAACCAACTTATAGTGTTAATTTGATAGGCAAAAATGGTGGTCATATAATTTTGTACTTTTCTTTACTGATAAGTCTGAATATCTTCCTGTATGCTTATTAACTATTTGTATTTTTTCTTCTTAAAACCTACAGTAAAGTTCTGATAATGAATCAGAAATTTCCTGTACACTTAAACTTTTATAAATGTCATATTTATATTGATTCATATATATTCTTATTTGTACAAATTTATATTAACCATGATTTATAGCTATTCATCTATACATAATACTATAATATACATAATAAATACATAAACTATAATTTTTCTAAGTTTTAGAGAACATTGAACACATATGCCATGGCCTTTTTATCTTCTTAATATATCAGTATGTACTTTCCTAAGAACAAAGCTTTTATGTAACTGCAGGGCAGTTAGTATATGCAATAGTTTAACAGCACCTTGCATTTGCTAGGTAGGAACTCTTATCACTGAGCCAAAATTCCTGACCTTTTCTGGATTGGCTGTTTTTGAGTAGGGTGTCATTTCCTCCCCCAAGCACATTCCAGAACTGCAATCCACCAATTATGACTCCCTAGGGATGACAGACCTGTGTTACAGTGTAGTCTTGTCTGTCTGGAATTGTGATCCTCTCAATCTCAGCCATCGACATAGCTAGGATAACAGGTGTCTACCACCATCTCCAGCAGCTATCTGTTGAGAAGAGGGTTTCACAAACTTTTCTGCTGGAGCTGGTTGCAACTTGCTATTCTTTCAATCTCAGCATCCCAGTATCTAGGACTACATGCATTAGCCATCAGCACCCAGCTGACTTAGACTTTTTAAATCAATATTGGATTATTTATTTTAGAGAATATTCCTCAATTGGGTTGGGTTAATAATCATTTTTGATTCAGGATATGCACTTTGAACTAGAATATTTTTAAATGGCATTATGTTCTTTGGGGGATAACTCATGTAGAGTTACTTGATATCCTTGCATCCCTCACTGGTAGTGTTAATTTTAATCTCTAGTCTCTTTACTGTATTTTCCCTTTGCAACTGATAAGGAACACAAGATACTTTAAACCACAAAAACATTCTGTTCCTTATCAAAATTTGTCTTCAAGACTGAACAACTATTTATATTTCACCTGAGACAATCTTTAATATTGTGTTTTCAAAATATTAGTTTTCTGAATCTATCACACCTTTCACATTTATTAGCATTCCACTATAAAGAAGAGTACCCTCTTACTCTTTGTTTCCCTGTTTATCCAAAAATCCATATCTTATGAAGATGAAGACGTGGATTTTTACTTTATTAAATGCATTATAATCTATTAATTTTTTTTACATTGTGCTCAAATTGTTGAGTATTTGACCAGCGAGATCCCCTTCAGATAGTTCCTGTATCCTTGAGCTATGCTTCCACATTTTTTTCTAAAAAAAAAAAAAAGCATTTTCCTACCTTTTGTCATACATACATGTTCTTGATTCAATGCATACCTCCTCTGACCCTGCCCTGACTCTTCAATGAGAGTTTATTTTAATGAGAAATGATACTTAGACACTAAGATTCACATGATGGCTGTTCTCATTGTTACTAACATGTAATTGCTTCTAGACATTTCCAATTCCAATTCAACCCCATAGGGTTCATCATCATTCTTGCATGCACCCCACACATTTTTTCACAGTAGGAAACCCAACAATATCCATGTTTTTTTTTCAAATATTTTCAGTCTTTCAATAACTATAACACAGGTTCACCCATTTCCCTATGAATACAAAATTCTTTGGAATTCAAGATCTATTTTTTTTTACCCCTAGAAGAATACATAGATAAAACCCGTGTTCAAAAGTTACCTATACTATTTTTTTCCCAATCTGATTGGGAAAACCACTTTACTTAAAATACAATTAGGTTATTGTTTTAGTTTTAGTTTTCCTCTGCATTGTAGATCTTTAAATATGTAGAATATCAGTATAGCATTTCTAAAAACAAAATTTACATCAGCAATATCTTTCAGATGGTACAATACAGCATTTTAATATAACATCTATTAAGGTTAATTTACTCTATATAAAACACTATATCAATTTGTATACTCACTTTTTTTTGGTAATGCTTGAGATTGAACCTAGAGTTTTACAAATGCTAGGACAACCACTCTAATGTTGAGCTATATCTCTCATCTTGTATACTCACTTTAAATCAATTTATGTCAAGTTCATTAATCACTTTTGTTGAGAATTTTTTCTTCATCTAGTAATTCAATTATTTATTTATCAGTCTTTTATTGAGTAGTCATTGTGTGCAAAAAAACTATCGGAGGCATTGGGGCTATGGTGATGAATCAACAAAACAAGGTCCTGAACTTTGTGGATCAAAATAAAATAATCAATAAATTTAATAGTTTCAAAAATACTTGAAAGAAAGTGATAGATAGATGACAGCAGATGACAGGAAACTCTAAGCAGAAGTTTGAAGTCATTATAGTCAATGCTAGAAATGTAGACTTTATCGTAAGTGATAATCAGAGTAACTTAAAGGGGAAATAAGTCAATAAGTAATTAATTTACTTTCTTAATTTAGAGAAGGTTGAGTGATTAGTGTTGCTTTATATAGATTAATAGCACTTGTAATGTTAAGACAATTAATTGCATAAAATTAAGAGAGTGCGAGTGAAACATTCTTTTTCTTATCTAGTATCCTACATCAACACAGAAAGTAAAGTTCCCCACCTTCAATTCAGAGGAGATATTAAACTGTGTAGGAAAAAGAAGCATGCCTTTTGCCTATTTTTTCTCTTCTCAAAGTTAAATCATATGCAGATATATATTACCACTGGAAATTATTCTTTCTACAGCTATTTTTAATAGCTGTAGAAACAATGTTTTGGTAGTGGGGTATATATTAGAAATTGATATTTAGTCTAATACCTCATGATTACATTGAAATTTGGCATTAAATGTATAACATCACATATGAACTCTACATAATTTGCAAAACAGCTACCAACCATCTACCTATATATCTATCTCTTGTCTATGTATGTTTGAATGTATGTATGTATGTATGTATCTATCTATCTACCTATCTAATTCACATGAGGAGACACCTATCCCCCTAGAAATATAATTCTTTGCATTACTTTCATTGCTCATGCCATAGTTCCATTCATATATTAGATACTTTAAAGGATGTTTTGAGGATCTTTTTTTATAAACCAACTAAAGTGTTTAGATATTGTTAAGTCTATTTGCAGACAAATTCTGGACAAATGTTTGTATAGAACAAGTCCAAATCTACCCTTGCTTCACATAATACATCCGGTTATTTTAAAAAGTCAGAGGTTAATGCTCACCAGAATCAGAACTCAAGAATCTGATAAGGTGTTGGATGCCTTTATGTTCTATCATTGCTTTTTGATTTTTTTCATTTCCCATACATAATACTCGTATGCAGTTCATTACATTTATCAGCACATTTTCTATATCTAAGTCCAAGAGATTTATCAGAGCTGGAATTCCATTCTAAAAATAAAAGAACAGTAATTACACTTTAATTTATTGAATATAAATGCAGCCCTTATTTAAAAACACAGCCTAGAATCATTCTTATTGTAAATGTCTGCTTATTTAAGAAAGAACAATTGCCTATAAATAAATACAACTCTGAGAAAGTCTTATACTTTCACTTAAGGTAAGTATTCAGTAAGCATAATTAAAAATATTATCTGTTGCACATTACTATAACATTTAATAATTATCTAAAAAGTACAGCAAGATTAAACAAGTTTCTCCATTTGGAAATGTTTGCATCTTTGGACAGTACATTTGTAATTGCTAATTATATTTGCCCAACACACAATATTATGTTTACTAAGAATATAATTTTCTTTTTATTTAATGAAGTAAAAATAGTATTTCTCCTTACCAACAAAACAATGCAAGAACATTACAGAAAATAAGAAAACATGCAATAATATTTTCAGTAAATCTAGGAGATATCCCAATGTTGAACCATAAGTAATGTGGACAAAAAGCTAACAGAGATGACTAACAGATCTGCTATTGCCAGTGACCACAGAAAATGCTGGAAGAGCCCAATTTCTCCAGTCAAGTGACTTGCTTGAGTGGAAGGAAAGGGGGGCATAATTCTGTGCTTGAAACAATAGGATTAGGTATTCAAGATGGCAGTAGAATCTTCCCTGGGCCAGTGTAGCATGAAGTTTAATTAACAAAAAAGCATCAAAAGCAAGTATGATCAAGGAGTTACACCTGCAAGATATGTTTGGATAAAAGGCTGCTGGTGAGGTAAAGGGAAAGAGAAGAAATTTCATTTTGTAAGGGAGAGTCAGTTCACTTTATGAGATACTATGCAACATTCATTTCTGTTTCTAGGTAAGAGTAAAGGTAGAAGAACTCAACTCTAGAATAAGAATATACAGTCTTCCACGGACTATTTTGTGGTGAAGAAGACAGTGGGAGGAAGGAGAAAAGGAGGTAAATATGGTTAAAATGTACATAGTATGCAACTATGCAATGTTATAATGAAACAAATTATTTTGTATGATGCATAATAACAAAATTAAGGAAGAAAAAGGAGGAAGTCTGTCTAAGCCAGAACATGTGTCAAGACTCTCCTACATATGTATTTCTTCAAATACTGACTCACAAAGAACCCAAATAATATGAGTAATATTCAAGAGGGACTTAGCACAGAATCTGCCCAAATATAAGAAAAATAGGAAAAATTTATGAAAGATGAAGAATGGCATTATAGTTTGAATATATATGTTCTTCCAAAGTTCTTACCTAGGAACTTTAACTCCTTTGTGATAATATTAGCAGGTAGGGCCAAATAGGAGGTGATAAAGTCATGGGATCCTATAAAAATTAGGGACTCCATAAAAAGCCTGGAGAGTAGTAACTGGACTGTTGCTCTCCACAATCCGGTCCAGCACAAGAGGATACCAGAGCCGAAGAAATGAGACCAGAGAGAGAGTTGATCATGTGAGGGACAGGAGGTGCAAGGCCCACTGGCCCTTGAACCCTGAGTTCCTTTAAGCAAGACTACTTATTTAGTTCAGTACAGGGAAGATCGTTATAGGTATATGCAGAAAACAAGATATCAGTTTATTATGTGGCTACAATCATTGACATGAGACAGTTTGTGTACACAGTAATAACTAACTCCCTTATTGTTAGGGGGCAGTGGGGAAAGGGTGAACAATTTTGAAATCTACAATGTAACTTAAGACATTTATCTTATTCCCATTGTTTCAAGCTTCATAATGTTCAACTGTAACTTAGACATTATAGGGTCCAGTCAACCTAGACATTTATCTTGCCTGGCCTGTTTGACCTTTTCAAGGTCCAGTTCCCATCCTTATGAGTACTGATGAAGTGGTATTCCAATTTCTTAGCCCTTTCCTGATTTTCCAGATTGGCTTAATAGTTCCCTACGTGGAACCTCTTGATCCTTCCACCTTCTGCCACATGCATCCACAACAACAAAGTGCCATCTTAGAAACAAGAGCAGCCCTCACTGGATATGCTATCACTGAGTTACATTCCTAACCCAAATGTTTCCTTCTAAGTGAAGTATTTTTCACTATCCTACATACATCCCCATTTCTTGTTTATCCTTGAAAGATTTGCAAATGTATAATGTCATGAGTCATTAGTTTTCTATGTTGTATATGATAGAATTACTTTTAATCAAAAACAATGTTCTATAAGACAACTCACATATTCAGCAATAACATCCTTGTTTTCATAGTGAGCAATGTCATACAGAATAACAGCACAGCGGGAATGCAGTTCAGGCTCATCAATAGCCAACAACTTGATCAGAGCTTGAATGCCTCCTGCTTCTACCAAAGCATGCACTATACTTTCATGGGTTGAGATATTACTCAATAACCCAACAGTTTTGCACAGCAATTTAATTCTATTACTTTTTAATAGATTGACTAAGGCAGGAATGGTGCCTGTAAAGAAAAGACAATGATCATGAATTATTTGGAATAATTGGTAATCAATTTTTAAATAATATCAGTATTGCAATATAGACAATTATATGAAATACAATTATGTGAAATTTTGTGACTATATTTTTCTGTCTTATCTATATTATAGGAAGTTCTCATTGTTTATGCATTTGATTTCACATAGCACTATTATACACTATATATTAGTAGCCCTACACTATCATTATCATTTTAATATCACTATCATTTTAATATCATTGGTAAATTATTTTTGTTTGAATAACGTGCTGACTTCAAACTCACAATTCTCTTGCTTCAGCCTTTTAAGTGCTGGGATTGTAGACACCCCCCCCCCACACACACTTGGCAGAGTTACAACATGGTACAGTTAAGCTTTGATTATTGCACCAGTTTTCTGTGGCCATTTCTGTACAATTATTTTATAATTTTATTTTATTTTTGCTGGTCATGGGGCCTGAACTCAGGGCCTGGGCACTGTCCCTCAGCTCTTCAGCTCAAGGCTAGCACTCTACCACTTGAGCCATAGCACCACTTCCAGCTTTTTCTGCTTATGTGGTGCTGAGGAAT